AGCTGTTACTTCTCTAAATATCCTCTTGACATCCTTTATGTTGTCTCCTTCTTTTTCATTAATCCTTATCATTCTTATGTTATTTTTCTTTGCATCGTCTTGTTGAATTGTTGTTTCCTGATTCCTTGTTATTTTTAAAAGATCTTTCCTTTCCTGTTCACTAGCTGAAATCCTGTCTTCAAGGTCTGAAATTCTATCTTCAGTTTCATTGAGGCGGTTTTTACAACTTTCAGTGGAGTTTTTTATTTCCTGTATATCTCTGTGCATCTGCATTATGTATTCTGTTTGTTTCTTATATTGGTCATCTAGGGATTCTTTTTGTTTAGTTCCTCCAATTTTTTACCTGTGTTTTCTTTAGATATATTCAGAATCTCTTTCATTTCTTTTATCATTTCTTCTTTTACCTGGGAGATTATTTTGAGTTTGAATTTCTTTAAAGCTTCCTGGAGTTGCTTGTTAATTTCAGTAGTTATTGTGTCTGATATTTGAGGTGAATGGCATATGTTTTTTTTCTATATACATTGCTCCTAGGGTTTCTTGAGATGGGCTGGAAGTTTGAGGTTGTAATTTGGTCTTTCGTTTTGTCATTTTCCTATATTTCTGTGTTTTAAGTGTTATTTGAAAGCTTCCTTCCCCTTCTATGTTCGCAGCTCCTGAGACTCTGGCACCCCGTTACCCCAAGCCACTGGACCTGTAGAACCAATGGCCCTCTTCTGCCTGTTTAGAACTCCGTAGCTCCAGATAAGCTGGGCTTCAGGGACACTTTGCGTCCACCTGCTTGTTGGAAGCTCCACAGTTCCCCAAGCGCAGCTGGGATGGGGAGGTAGATGTAGATGCCTCAAACCCACTTATCCACTTCACTGCACCCCGAAGCCTGGAGGGTCCCGAACAGTCTGGGCTTTGGGCAGAGTGCACTGGGCACTTACCACAGGCCGCGGGGCCTCTGGAAACTGCGATGCTCCCCTGCTTGCTGAGATATCCACAGTCCTCCAGACACACGGGGAGGCGCATGCAAGCGTCCCAGATCCGCCCAGTCCCTCCTCTGCACACTGATGGTGAGGTGCAGGAATCCCAAATAGCGGAAACCCTAGTTTTTTTGTTTTAAAATTTTTAATATGTAATAATTGTACATATTTATGGGATACAATTGCTGTTTTATGTGTACATTGTATAATGATGATATTAGAGAAATGAGCATAGCCATCATTTCTATGTGTTGAGAACATTGAACAGGAAGAACTTAAAGAGTATATATCTCTTTATGTATATTTATATGGAATTGTGTATGTGACAGGAACCCAAGTAACTCAACAGCAAAATACCCCAAAATAATCAGGCAAAAATGGGCAAACATCACTAATCACTGGGGGAATGGGAGAAAGTCAAGCAAATCTTGAGTTTTATGAACTATGCTTTGGTCATTCCAATTAGAATGGCTAATATTTTAAAAAATACAACAAAACATTCCCTGTAAGTTATTTCAGAATACACACTGTAGACTGAGAATCCAGAAACCAAAAATGCATGTTTTAGAATGTGAATTTTTTTTTTTTTAGACTGCATTTCACTAAATTGTTAAATTGCCTAGTTTCAGCTTCAACTTGTGATTTTCCTGTATTAGCCTCCCATAATACTCGGATTACCCTGCCCAGTTTAAAATCTGAAACTTTTTGAGTACTACTGTGACCCTGAAAAAGGTTTTAGTTTTGGAGCTTTTCAGATTTTGCTTTTTTCAATTAGAGATGTTTAGCTGGTAACATCTATATAAATATTCTCAAATCTGCAAATCCCTGAAATCTGAAACAGTTCTCATTCCAGGCATTTCAGACATAGAATACTCAATCTCTATATTGTTGTCATTCTGTATTAACCCTGCTTTGTAGTAAAACACCAGGACTTGTTTCTCCTATCTATTGTATCTGTGCTGATTCACCAGCCTCTCTCTATTCTCTTTCCCTCCATGCCCTTTGCAGGCTTTGTTAACCACTGGTTTATTCTCTGCTTCTACAAGAACAACTCTTAGATTTGATTTATGATTGAGATTTGTGGTGTTTGTCTCTGCACCTGACGTATTTCACTCATTTTATATTATTTTCTCTTTATTTTTTACTTACTTATTTTTCTTTTTGAGACAGTTTCACTCTGCAATTCAGGCTGGCCTTGAACTCACTTGGAGCCCTAAATTGGGTTCGAACTCAGCAATCTTGCCTCACCCTCCCAATTGCTGAGATTACAGGCCTGTGCCACCATACCTAACCTTCTCCTTATTTTTTTATCTTTTTTTTAGTACATGATTGCCATGCATCATGATCACATTTATCATAGGGGATTAGTACTTCTAAATAGTATGTGTTAGTACTTTTTTTTCTCCATTACCCTCTCCATTTGTGAAAGCTTTGTTTCCGTTTTTCCCTCCCTTTCTTTTTTAAAATGTCTTCTTTCCTTCCTTTTCCCCTCCCCAGAACCTCCATTGTTCCCCTTCCCTTCCCGTTTGAACATTTTATTTCTGCTTCCCAATATCTATCCTCTGTTTTGCTCATTTTTCCTTTGGATTTCTCACACAAGAGAAACAATGCAATGTTTAAACTTGTGTGCCTTATTTATTTCATTTAACATTATAGTTTTGAGTGTAGAGCACATTTTATTAATCCATGCATCAGTTGTTAGACATTCATACTGATTCCATGTCTTAACTGTTGTAAACAGTATCATAATAAACACGGGAATGCAGATAGCTTTTTGACGTACTGATTTAATTTCCTTTGTCGATATACCTATTAGTGGAATTGCTGAATCATGTACTAATTGTTTCTAGTTTTGAACCCCCATACTATTTTTCCATAATGGCTGTAAGTACTAGGTTACATTTTAGTCAACATCTAGTTACAGCAGTATGCACCTGTAGTATTAGTACCTGAGAGACTGAAACAGGAGGATCACTTTAAGCTCAGGAGTGTAGGATCAGCTTGGGCAATATAGTTAAACAACCTTACCAACACTTACCTTTTTACATTTAAATATTAGCCTTTCTAAGTGGCTCACTGTAGTCCTGATTTGCATTTCCCTGATGATTAGTAATGTTGAGCATTTTTCCATATGTGTTGGATATTTGGATATCTTCTTCTGAGGACTGTTTATCCAAGTCTTTTGTCTGTTTTCTTTTGGATTATTGGGGAATATTTTGCTATTTCCTATAGATTGATTTTATGCTCTGCTGACTATTTACTTTGTTGTGCAAAAGCTTTTTCATTTGATATAATTTTGCTTTTCTGTTTTTGTTTTTGTTGCTTGTACTTTTTGAGTGTTAGATCCCATGTCCTGAAATTTTCACGTGTTTTCTTCTAGAGGATTTTTCTCGTTGTTTGTTTTTATTTTGTTTTGATTTTTGAGACAGGATCTCACTATATAGTTCAGGCTGGCTTTGAGCAAAAGTGTGCAGGAGGGAGATGGACCTTTTCAGGTTGTGCCAAGGTGACCCAACCAAGATTTACCTCCCAATATCACATAGAACTATAAACTCATCAGTAGATGAATCTTCTGATGAATGTTGCTCACCCCTATAACAGTCATCTCCCAAAAGCCCCAGCTATGAGTGTATGAGGCTTTGAGAGGACATCTATATATAAACCATCACAGCATCACTTAGCATTATGTGTAAGGAAAGCTCTGTAAACTATTTTAACTTCAACTGTTGGTGATGGGGTACTGTAGTGTTTTGAGAACAAAGGTGACTTGTTAAAAGGATCACTGAATGTTGTGTTGAAAATAGACTGAAGGAGATCAAAGATGTAAAGAAAGTTCAACAGGAGACTGTTTATAGAATTCTAGGAGAGACAAGATGGCTTGGATACTGGGTGTTGGAAGTGCCCCATGTATTTTAGGTTATGGTGTCAGATTGTATGTGGGGCGTGAGGGGAGAGAGAAAGAAAGATTAAAACTCTGTTCTGAGCAGTGTAATAGAATTTTTATCAACTAATTTTTATCAACTAATATCAACTAAGTATTAAATAATGAGCAAAGCAGATAATAATACTACTATCGTAGGGTTTACATATTCTTGAGAGTTTGTGTGTATGTATGTATGTGTGTTCCTTTTTTTGTGGTGCTGAGTTTCAACCTTAGGCTGTCATACAGACTGGGCGGATGCTGTACCTTCTAGATCAGGAGATTATTTTCATATGAAAACTATATTGGTATATGGAAATAATATTCAGGACTGGAAAGTACTTTATTTTGAGAGGGCGGAAACTTCTCCATTTGATTTTCATCCTTTAAAAAAAACAGTACTTACATTATTTTAAAAATTAATGTAGAAGTAGAATAGAGATGTGTGTATATAAATGTTTGGCTGGCTGAATTTTCAGGTTGATCATTTACTGTGTAACCAACATTCAGATCAAGTAATAAGATTGCCAGTAACTCAAAAGTCCCCTGTTTGTTATTTGCCTAACTCTGCAAAGGTAAAGAACTTTGCTTACTTTTTTGCTGGTACTAGGGATTGAACCCAGTGCCTTTTGTGTGCTAGGCAAGTGCTCTAACACTAAGCTACATCCTAGCCCTTTTTCTTTTTTATTTTTGACACAAGGTATAAGTTGTTCAGACTGGCCTTAGCTTTGCAATCCTCTTGTCTTAGCCTCCTAAGTAGCTGGGATTTTAGACATGTGCTAGTGCATCTAACTCACTCTTCTGACTTCTGATAGCTGTTTTACTTTTGATTGTTTTAAGAATTAATATAGGTGGAATTATACAAGGTGAGTTCTCTATGCTATGTCTTAGGTTATATTTATAAAATTCATATCACATATAGTTATGTTTTATTCTCTTCATTTGTGAATATTATACAATTTATTTTTCTGTTAAGTCTGTTCAATTATTCTAGTCAAATTTCTATTTATTAACAATACTGTAGTGTTAAATGGAACTGTATTGTAAGTTGGCAATGATAAATCTCTATTTCTTTAAGAAAAAGGTTATGAGAAATACTATTGTCCCTTTTCTAGGATGATTGTAGAGTTGTCTTGGCAAAACAGGAAATTACAAGATTATTGGAAACATTGCAGAAACAGCAACACCAGTTTACAGAGGTTGCAGATCATATTCAGTTGGATGCCAGCATCCCTGTCACTTTTACAAAGGTAATGTATCATAATGTATCATGTTTAGGTGTGTTTTCAGACAAATCATGATTAATTTACATTTCTTTATAATCAGCTCAAATATACAACTAAGAAATTAGTTAAATACTGGACTTTTTAAGAAAAGTTCTCCCCCCAAGTAGAACAGGTTCATTTTTTTAAAAATTACTTTCATAATTCGTATTTTATAGGGTATATTATGGTAATGCAGTATGTATATATAATGTTTAGTAATCAAATCAGTGTAATATGCACTTCTAAGTAAACTTTTCATCAGTGGAAAATAGAAAAAAATCATATTATGATTTTTCCTGTACTCATTCCCCAACTTAAAAAGTATAAATTTATTATGTCATATGTCCTTTATTCCATTCCTCTGTCTGTAGTCTCTGGGATGTTTTGAAGTAAATTCTAGCATCATATGATTGTATTCCAGTATTGTATCATTTTATCTGTGAAATATGTTAGTGTGCATCTCCAAAAGATAAGAATTCTTTTTCAAAGGTTAGATACCTAAAAAATTTAATATTAATCCTGTTACTATTTCCACTAAGGTTATCAAATATCCAGTTGGTATTCAGATTGCCCGTGTTATTTCCAAAAAAAATCAGTATTTTTTGAGAAAGAATCTAAACAAAGTCCTTATTTGGCATTTATATTTAATTCAATTTTTATAATGAATTCTGGATTTCTTCAGGGTCTTTCACCCTTTTCATTCCTAATTACATGGATTTAAGTCTTTTTTTTTTTTATAAGATTGGCTAAGGGTTTGTCAATTATATTTAATCTTTCATGAACCAACTCTTCAATTCATTGATCCTTTTTTTTTAGTCTTCAGTGTGTTCATTTTTGTTCTTTATAATTTCCTCCTTTGTACAAGCTTTCAGTTTAGCTTGCTCCTCTTTTTCTAGAAGTTTGAGGTTCAATATTAAGTTGTATATATCTGCTTGCTCTGTTTTCCTGAGATGGGTATTTACTGCTATAAATATCCTTCTTAAGACTGCTTTCACTGGTCTCACAAGTTCTGGTATATTGTATTGTTATTGTCATTCACATATAAAAGCTGTCCGTTTTCTTTTTTAATTTCATCTGTGACTCACTGGTTTTTGAGTAGGTTACTATTTAATTTCCATTTGTTTATGAATTTCTCGTGGTTTCCTTTGGCATGGATTTCCAATTTCATTGCACTGTGGTCTGATAGTATGCATGGGATAATGTGAATTCCTTTGCATTTACTTATGCATATTCTATGAGCTTATATATGGTCTCTTTTGGAGAATGTCCTATGTGCAGCTAAGAAGTATGTGTATTCTGATATTGTAGGGTAGAAAACACTGTCGACATCTACTAAGTCCATTTGCTCGGAAGTTTGATTTAGTTCTAATATTGCATGATTGATTTTTTGTCTAGTTGATCTGTCTTTTTTGTGACAGTTGGGTATTGAGGTCTTCTAATACATTTTTTTTAATTTGAAGATTACTTTATTAATACCCTTGAAGTTGGCAGCACTTTCTTTCTTTCTTTTTTTTTTTTTTATCCAGGATCGAACTCACAATCCTCGTACTTGCCAGTCAGGCATTTATGCCACTGAGCCTAATCCCTGGCCTCTCAATACAGTTGTATTAGTGCTTATTTGATTTTTCATGTCCATTAGTAATAGTTTTTTATAGCTGGGTGCACTGGTATTTGTTGCATATATATTTATGATTGTTATCTCTTCCTCTTGTTCCCTTAACGAGGATGTAATGACCTTCATAAAAAAGGTCTCTTAATCTTGGCTTGAAATTCACTTTGTCTGGAAATAGAATAGCTATCCCTGCTTTTTTCTGCATTCCTGTTGCATGTAGTTTTGTTTTCCATCCTTTGACTTTCAGTCTGTGAATTTCTTTTTGAGTGAGATGTGTTTCTTGTGTGCAACATATTGTTGAATCTTGCTTCTTGATCTGTTCTGCTGGTCTTTGTCTTTTGACTGGTGAATTGAGATCATTAACATTGATGGTTAAAACTGATATGTATTGACTTATCCTTGTCAAGTTATTATCCTATTGTTGGCTCCCCCATTTTTTCCTTTCTTCTTAATTGTTTGCCTTTCCTGGTGAATTCCTTCTGGAGTTGGAGTTTATGGAGCTGTAGACCTTATTTTCTTTTTCTAGAATGTCCTTTGGAACATTTTGAAGGGCTGATTTGATGGTCATAAATTTCCTCAGATGTTCTTTGATATGGAAATATCTTATTTCTCCATCAATTTTAGTTTACCAAGTTTTTTTTTTTTTTTTTTAGTACTGGGAATCGAACACACAACCTTGCGCTTGCCAGGCAGGCACTTACGCCGTTGAGCTAAATCCCCAGCCCATCTCCATCAATTTGAAAAATAGTTTTGTGGGATACATCAATCTGGGTTGAAAGTTGTTTTCCTTTAGATCTTGAAGTACTTTATGCCAAGCTTTCCTGACTTGAGAGTTTGTGCTAAGAAGTCAGCTGTAATTCTAATGGGCTTTCCTTTATGTGTGATTTGTTTCTTTTCTCTAATAGCTTTTAAGATTCTATTTTTGTGTTGAATTTCTATAATCTTGACTATAATATACCTTGCTGTAAATTTTTTTGACTATTGCTAATTGGAGTTCTATATGCCTCACTTATTTGTATGTCAAATTCATTTTTCTCTACCAGGAACGTTTTCTGTCACAATGTCTGTGAACATGTTTTTCATGTCATTTGTGATATCTCCTGCTTGTTCATTAACTCCAGTTAATCTTGAGTTACTCTTTGTGTCATCTAGAAGCTGCTGGATTGATTTCTCATGGTACCTTGTTAGTTTTGTGAAATCTTTCTTTTCCTGGTTCCTAACTGCAAGCCTGTCTTCAGTATCTGAGATTGGCCTAATCTGCTTCAAATACTTCCTTTTCATTTCTTTCTTTCCTTCTTTTTTTTTCTTTCTTTTCCTTTTCTCTCTCTCTCTCTCTCTCTCTCTCTCTCTCTTTCTCTCTCTGTCTCTCTCTCTCTACACCAGGGATCAAATTCAAGACCTTGTGATTGCCATGCAGGTATAGTTTCAATGGAATTTTTATTTTCCTGGATATCTGCTTTATGGATTCCTTTTGTTTCCTATGCTATGCTTCCATAATTTGCTTTGTCTATTTTTTGTCTATATTTGCTCTAACATCGCTCAGCATAGTGTGTATTTTATTAATCTCTGTAGTTATTTGAGAGATTATTTCTGATTTAATTTTTTCCAGGGCCTCATTACATTCCTTTGTTTTTACCACTTCAGAGAGACCTGGTGTGGGGCTTTCAGACTGTCTCACCTCATTGTCCTGTGTATTTGCCTTTGGTGAACTGGATGTCTGAGGTGGCATCTTAAGTGTCTTGTTATTTCTTTTCTTTTTTTAGTTTAATTACTGCAGTGATGCTTGTAAGTTGTCTATGGTTGCTTTCATGTCATGTCTATGGTTGCTTTCATGGGTTGCTTTATTGGTGATATTTAGGAAACTTAGGTGATGATTACTTCTCTGATGTATCTTCTAGCTGTAGCATGATTTTGTGTTTTGAGTCTTTTGGAAGATCTTACCTCTTCAGTTTGTTGAGGAACAGAAGTTGTTGCTTGTTTGGCCTAGTCTCTTGTTCTCTGGCATTGTGCCACAGTATTTTCTTAGTTAATCTCAGTCATGGATTATCATGGCCAACAGCTGATTAGAACAATTACGTTGATTTTGTTTGTAGTGGTACCAATAGCCTCAAACACAGCTTATAAAATAACAAACTGAGTTAACCCTTAACTTGCAACTTTTAAAAGTATGAACTAGATTTGAGATTATACTACAAAACGTAAAACAAACCAAATAATTATATGGTTAATTGTAAGTCTGCAATGTGTAACCTCAGGGTTAAAATTTAAAATGGATTAAGGAGAAAATAGAGAAGTAGAAATGAGAAAGATTACAAGTAATTTGGAGGACAATGATGCATTCTGCCAATTTGGGGAAACTGGTGCAGAAGACTGAATAAAACCGCTTGGTGAAAGAAATAAAAGGTAGAACAGAACAGAACCACACCCACAAAGAGGTTAGGGATCATTCTCATACTCGTTAAAAAAAAAGCAATGAAAGAGAAAGAGAAATAAAAAAAAAACAAACAGAATAAAACAAAACAAACCAACAAGAAAAGAAAAAAAAAACTCAGAGAGTTCGCTCCCATCATTGTCTCTGGGTTTACTAGTAGACAGCCTGTGAAGACAGTGTTCCAGCCACTGTGTTCCAGCAAGCCAGCTACTGCTTTATGGTGAACTAGTAGATAACCTTAGCAGGCCTGCTTATTTCTTGGACTGCAGAAAGACCGTACTCATTGGACTTGCTGCAGTCCAAGCAATTTCCATGGGCCTGCGCCCAGCTAGGAGCTGCTGGAGCAAGCTGGCAGCAGTTCTGGTTCTGGGCCTATGTGGCCTGATTTCAAAATGGCTCCCAGCCAATTTCTCTGTCCTGTAAGAGGACTGAGTCCTTTGTGCGCACTGCCAGCTAGTGCAGGCCTCCACGTCTGCCACTGTCTTTCACTGACATGTCTCTCTACAGAGGCCTCTGGTTCTCAGCTGCCACTGTAACTGTAACTGTGCAACCCCAGGTTCCAACAACTCATGCAGTGAGTCTGGCTCCTGGTGAAGTTGTTGCCAGCTACTACCTTCTTAATTGAAGTTTTTCTTTTTACTTTCTCTGTGGCTTCAATTCACACTTCAGATTCTTCGTAGTTCCCCTTCTCCCTTCCTTGTCTTCTTTAAGTGGTGACTCTCAGAGGTGCTTTTTTCTCTATTGCTTACTGCTCTCTGGACGTTTAGAGGTAGTTTTAAAATTTAACTTTGTTTTATAATTATGTGACACAATTTACAGGGTCGAGAATCACATTTGTAAACAGTGTTCTTTAAGAGACATTTAACTTCTATCTTTGTTTCCTCAGTACTTTTTATTCCATACAAAGCTAGATTTTTCCCCTTGTTTTATTCATCACTTGAAAAAAAGTAGAATCATGTGTTTACATAATTGTACTCATACTACCCACATTGAAAAATAGAATACCTTACACATTTTTTCTCTTTTCTCTAACTTTAAATTCTAAAAATTTCCCTCTATTATAATAAAATACAATGATTTTTAAATTCCTCTGTATAGCTACAAGATACTTTGAGGTTGTATTACTTTTACTTTGGTAAAGCACATAAAAAATTTACCATTTTACATGGTTTTAAGCATATATGCCAGTATTGTTAAGTATACTCACAATTTTGTGAAACAGATTTCCAGAACTTTTTCATGTTGTAAACCTGAAATTTTATTCTTTAAACAATCTGGCCTATCCTCCTTGGCCCCTAGAAGCTACTATTCTATTTTGTGTTTCTGTGGATTTGATTAGCTTAGATACTTCATAGAAGTAGAATAATGTACTGTCTATCTTTTTGTGGCAGGCTTATTTCAATTTGAACAATATTTTCAAAGTCATGTTGTAGCATGTAAGAGAATTTTATTTCTTTTTTGTTCGAATAATATTTAACTGTATATGTATCTGCTGTGTAGGAGACCAGAGGCAAATTGAGGCTTAATTGGCCTTCTCGATGTGCACAAAGGAGAAAGGCTTGATGGCAGTTGGAGGTTCTAGAGTAAAAGTACAGCTGAGTTTAAGTTGTTTCCCTGAGCATGTATTAACTGATAGTCTGAGGCAGATTAATTGTTTGTACCTGTGTCTGGGTGAATAAAAGGAAAATAGAGCTCCTCTGCCCTAGAGGCCCCTGGCGGCCTGTCTGTCTGCCTGTCTACTAAATTGACTCTGTCTATTTGTAGTTCATTCTTGTTTGTCCTTGGTCCACGGTAACAAACAGCATAAGACTAGGTCTCTACAAGAGGTGCCTGGGTGGAGAAGGCTTGGAGGAGTAAGCTGGCTTCTCATGGGTGGGGCCTGGGCCAGGGATCTGGAATCAGTGGTACAGGCCATTCTGCAACAATACCGTATTTTGTTTATCATTTCATCTGTCAATAGACACTTAGGTTGCTTTCATCTCTTGGTTATTATCTGCTGCTCTAAATGTGGGTATATTACAGATATCTCTTTGAGACATTTTCTTGTAGACATACAACCAGAAGTGAAGGAAGGGAGTTGATCATTGAGGAGATCTATTTTAATATTTTGAGAAACCATTTTCCAGTTTTCACACCATATTACAGTCCCAACTTTAGTGCACATGGGTTGTAATTTCTACATTTTATCCAATACTTGTTATTTGTTTGGTTTTAGATAGAAGCCATCTTAATTGATGCAAGGTTTTATCTGTTTTGCTTTTGCTTTGCATTATTTTGATTAGTGATATTCATCTTTTCATGTATTTGTTGGCCACTTTTATATTGTCTTCTTTGTTTTTTTGAGACAGGTTTTCACTATGCAGTCCAAGCTGGCCTTGAACTCACTATGTAGCCCTGGCTAGCCTAGAACTCACATTGATCCTCCTGCCTCAGACTCCAAAGTGCTGGTCTTACAGGTGTGCGCCACCATGCCTGGCCAACTTACATACTGTTTTTAATGTCTCTTCAAATCATTTGGCCCTACTTTGATTACATTATTTGACATTTCTTTTGTTGTTGGATTATAGTTATTTGTATATCCTGGATATTTATCCGGATATTTGAATGGAACTATTTGGTATACCAAACAGTTCCAGTCAAATATTTTTGCTTTGTGTCCTGTAATATCCAGAAAGTTACTGTCAAATTTAACGTCACGAGGCTTTTTTCTTCTTTACTTCAAAGACTTTTGTAATTTCGGGTTTTACATTTAGTGCTATCAAACCATTTTGAGTTAATATCATGTTTTGTATGTGGGTTGAGATTACTGTCCATCTTCATTCTTTCATATGTGTGTATCTAGTTTCCCTCACATATTTATTGAAGAGATATATTTTCTTCATTGAGTGGTCTTTGATAACCTTGCTGAAGATCATTTGATCATATGTGAAAGTTTATACTTAGGCTCTATTTTATTAAAATATAGTATGTTAATCTTTATGCTAGTACCACAGGATTTTCATCATTATAGCTTTGTAAATATTTTGAAGTCTGCACTCCAATTTTGTTCTTTTTCAGAATTGATTTAACTACTGAGTATCCTTTGAGAATCTATAGATGATTATTCTCCCAATATTTTTATCTTTTTTTTTTTGTACCAGGGATCAAACTCACAGCCACGCACTTTTAAGGCAGGCGCTTAGGCCACTGAGCTAAATCCACAGCTCCTTTTTTTTGTCTTTTTGAGACAAGGTGTCAGGCTGGCCTTGAACTCACTTTGTAGACCAAGTCGGTTGGGAACTTATAGCCATCTTCCTACCTCAAGCCTCCCAAGTGCTAAGATTACAGGTGTGTACCACCATGCCCAGCTTTTTCTTCCTATTTCTGCAAATAATTAAGGATTTTTTAAAAACATGCCTTGGGATTGAACCCAGGGCCTGTGTGCTATATAAATGTTACCACTGAGCTGGACTCCTATCCTGTGTTACTAGGATTTTTATAGTGATTACATTGAATCTGCACCATCATTTTGGATAGTAACGACACTATATATGACTATTAATTTCTCTATCCATGCACATGGAGTGTTTTTCTTTTATGGCTTCTTTATTTTAGCAATGTTTTGTGGTTTATAGCATATAAATCTTTTACTTACTTGCCTGGGTTTATTCCTAAGTATTTTATTCTTCTTAATACTATTGAAAATGAAATTTTATTTTACATCATTGGGGTTTTTTTGTTTGTTTGTTTGTACTGGGAATTGAACTCATGACTTGTGCTTGCCAGGAGGCGCTTATGCCACTGAGCTAAATCTCCAGCTTTTTTGGCTTTTTGAGACAAGGTGTCTTTATGCAGTTCAGTTCTTATGCAGTGATCCTCCTGAATGGAATTACAGGCATGCCCACCTGAAATTGTTTTTTTTTTTTTTAATTTCCTTATTGGATTATTCATTATTATTGTATAAATACAGAAATGATTTTAACATTTGTTTTGTGTTCTGCATCTTTGTTGGATTTATTTATTTATTTTTAAGGAATCTTCTAGAGTTTTATCCATGTAAGATCATGTCCTCTGTGAAGATAATTTTATTTTTCTATTTGATTTGGATGCCTTCCATTTATTTTATTTTATTTTTCTTAATTACTCTGGTTAGACTTACTAGTCTAGTACAGTGTTGAATAGATGTGAGAGTGGGTATCTTCATCATATTTCTTATCTTAACAAGAAATTTTTCAGTGTTTTATCGACTGTGGTGTTATCTGTAGGCCTATTTTATGTTGAGTTGAGTTTTCCTTCTATTCTTAGTTTATCGAGTGGTTTTATCATGAAATCATATTGAATCTTGTTAAATGCATTTTCTGCATTAGCGAGGTGATCATATTGTCCTTGTCTTCCATTCTACTAAAATGTTGAATATCCCTTGCCTTTTAGGTATAAATCTCATTTTGGGATAGTGTGTAATCCCCTTAATCTGTTGTTGAATTCAATTGACTAGTAATTTTGTTGTTTGTATGTAACTATGTAAATTTAATACTGTTTTTATCCTTTCTTTATAAATGAGAGAAATGGGACAGAGAAGCCACACATCTGGGAATGTACATTACATATGTTCATTACAGCATTCTTTTTAATATCAAAAAATAAGAAATGATCTAACATCAAACATTTGGGAATTGGTTAAATCGTGGTTCACGGAATATAATGAGAGCATTAAAAGAGAAAAACTTGGTCTCTGTATTTGAAATAAAACGATTATATATAATCTGTCTAGTGAGAAACAGTTGTTACACTGTGTAGTATTAAGCTTTAAAGAGGTTTCTTTTTGTATGTTACCTAGTGTATGCATAGGAAAAGTGAGAAAATATACACTGTTAATAGTAGATATTTCTAGGAATCAAGTAGCAGTTTTTATTTATAACTAATTTAGCTCTATTTTGAGTGTTTTAGTACTGCATAAAACGTTATTGAAAGAAGATTCAGTTGAGCTAGAATGTCTAGAGAAATTAAATGGGCATGTGTATTTTTTTTTTCCTTTTAACTTATTTGGCAATAAAGTGGTCATTTTTACTAAGGACAGATTTAGCCAGGGAAAAGAATTCAGTTCTTGAGGAACATCAGATTTAGAATATTGTGAAATATTGAAGAATGCATAGGAGACGTGGAAATAATACTGTTTTAATAAAGGTATACATGCTATTATTTTGTAGTTCCATGTCTTAAAAGATTTTAAAAATTTAAATTATAGGACAACAGAGTTCACATTGGACCCAAAATGGAAATTCGTGTTGTTACATTGGGATTAGATGGTGCTGGAAAAACTACTATTTTGTTTAAGTTAAAACAGGATGAGTTCATGCAGCCCATTCCAACAATTGGTAAGTAAATATTGCTTTTTCTTTTAACTTCATTGAACGTTTTATAGACAATATAAAAAAAAAGACCTAGCTTACAGCTGGGTCTTATGTGATATTGATTGTGCAGATCAAGTCTATTCTGACTCTGAGACACCAGTATTTTAGAGAAAAAAATGCAGGATTCTGTGGTTATGGGACTAAAATGTCGATGAGAGAATAATAAAAAAGAATACTGTATTGGTGGGACAATTAGAAAGGATAGAAGATTGGTGACCCTGGCTGAGGATTAGGGGAAGAGTAGTGATACAGAGTTGGAAGATACATGGATATCAGGGCCCTAAGGATCCTGGTAGAGGTACAGAGGGCTAGCAGCCATTAAATCCCTCGCAAGATTAGGAGTGGAGTTGTTTGGGCTCTGTGAGTATTGCTACATGCAGATAGTTCATGAATCACAATTACAAATAGGGTTGCCTGAATTTGATGTGTGATTCATTGTAAATACATTCAGTATAAAAAGTAACCTTTTTTTAAAAACAGGTTTTAATGTGGAAACTGTAGAATATAAAAATTTAAAATTCACCATTTGGGATGTAGGTGGAAAACACAAATTAAGACCATTGTGGAAACATTATTACCTCAATACTCAAGGTAAGTAAGCAATAGTACCTTAGCTGTAAAAAATTTAGTAAGACAATTTTTATTAAAAGTTGATTTAACTTGTAAAACTGATATTTAAAAATAGATTAAATAACTGAATATATATTAATGGTCAGCCCCTTATTTTAAAAAAATTGATGGTGATGACCCTAGGACATGTACTTTTGGCTTACTCATAATAAACCCATTATTATAAATTAAAAATGTACTTTAATGTTTAGATGATTACACTTACATCTTTGCTGCTGTTAATAGTTAACATACATTATTGGTATTCATATGGTTGTGATCACTGGCAAAAAAATATAGTGGCACAGACTTGTATTTGTGGTGTTTGCTTTGCTGTTCAATTCATTTAAACATTTAGTCAATTATAATCCCTCAGTAGCACCAATACCTAATTTATTAGTTATTTTCAGAGGACATACAATGGCTTACTCTTGACCAAAGTGCATATATTACATATATTCCACCTTGCTACTATTTATGTTTGGGCCCAGTTCGGTATACATCTGTACCATATATCATCTTACTTGCCACCTAGATGGCAGACAGATAATTTTTACTTTGGATTTTTTTTTTTTGTCTTTTGCCTTTTTATCAGTTCCAGGGATCGAACTCACGACTGCTTGCTTACAAGGCACGCGCTTATGCTGCTGAGCTAAATCCCCAGCCCCTGCTTTGGAATTTTTGATAATACATGTAGAAAAAATGGACTTCTGATTATGTGCAATGATTGAAAGTCTAGAGATGCTTAGCTTACAGAGAAGAATACCTTAGAAAGATAAATATGTTGACTTTTATTGTTTTGAAGATTATCCGTTTGTAAAGGAAATAGAATTCAAATAATAGCATCAGAAGGAAGAGTATGAGAAACTTATTTTCAGTTAGTAAGAGGAAAATAATATACAGAGCAGCTTTTGATAGAGCAAGTGTTGTAAATCCTGTCATAGAAAGCTGAACCTACAAAGTAATGTGAACTTGAGATTATACCATTAATTATTGGTAGGTTCTCCTGTCATTAAGTAGGCAGCCTTCATGTGGAAATAGTTGTGGTAAACAAACTCTACCAATAATATAATAAAATATTAAATGTTTGGTTCATTCACTGAAAGCTAACAAGTGATTAATTGAATTTTTTTGGTAGCTGTTGTATTTGTTGTTGATAGCAGTCACAGAGACAGAATTAATGAAGCACACAGTGAACTTGCAAAGTTGTTAACAGAAAAAGAACTCCGAGATGCTTTGCTCCTGATTTTTGCTAACAAACAGGTAATACATATTAGAATGCTTATTATAGTAGGTTTCTGTATTCTATATCATAAAGCAGTTGAAAAGATTTCAAACAGTACCATTTTAGAAGATATTTATAAATATCTTTTAGAAGATATTTATAAAATTTATGTGTATTTTAAATACATTTATGTGTAAAGGGCTGGGAACCTTGGAGTATATCATCAGATATTGTAGTGTATGTTTGTGAATACTTATGAAGTTCTACCACAAAGAAAACTGGAAGTAATATTAACAATGCATTATGAGGAACAAGGGGGTGGGAGTGAAAAAAGCTTTGGGGGAAATACAGAAAGGCTATAAAGGTGAGAGATCTTGTAAGATTGTAAAAAAAGTAGGATTTAAGTTGAAAGTAAGATTGGAGTTGAAATTATGAGTGGGACATCGAATGTAGAGGAAAGAACACTACAGGCAGAGAAAATAAATTTGGGGGAGCATCAAACAGACCTGTATGTGAGATGCAGGTAGTGGATGATGAAAAAAATTATAGAGTAACAGGTGCAATCACTTTATGAGACTCTGATAGAGCTAGATTGAGAAATTTAGGTTTTAATCTGTGAGCAAATAATCATCATTATGTTTCTAGACTAGTGAGTGATGAGATCATGTCAATGTTTTAAGACTAATTTTGGAGGCAGAATGTGCATTCAACCAGGTTGAGTAACTCATTAAATCCAGTCAACTATTGAAATTATTCATATCACAGTTAACAAGACCCAGAATTATAGGAGAAAGCCAGGAGGCCAGAGAGAATCTGTGGAGATAGAAATGTTAAAATTCAGTGACTAAATAGAGAGAATGAAGTATTGCAAGCACTGTATCTGAAGATTCCTAAATCTTGAGCCCAAGCTTCTAGGAGGATGAGAACGATTTTAAGTACATGTAATAGTCAAGTAGAAGTGCAGTACAATAGAAAGATAACATTAGAGGGGAAGAGTAGGATGATGAGTAAAGAAGTTTCTCCTCATAAATAGGGGCAAACTTAAGAGCTGATAATATATATATATATATGCTTATTTATACTGGATGACATACAAATAAGACACCTGTCAGGTTGTTAGTGAAGTGTTTCAAAAGATGTAGATTAACAGATACTGTTGGTGTGGTTATCAAACTGAGCCTTTTTTGTTCTCAGGAATCAAACTCGAAGACATATACATGATAGGTAAACTCTGTACCACTGAGTCAAACTAGTCCAAGGCATTTTTGTAAAGGACAGTTTCACAGTATCTGCCAAAGTTTTGGATGCATAAGACCTAAGTTTAGTAATATATCCTGTAGACAAGTATCCAGAGGTTAGCCTAAAGTCATTGCATAAATGTTCTGTAAACATATATATAAATATATGTCTGAATATGTTACATGTATGTGTATATTCTTCCCTAAGTATCTATGGGATTAGTTCTAGGACCTCCTGTAGTACTAAAATCTTTGGACTCTCAAGTCCTTTTTATAAAGTAGCATAATATTTGCATATAAGCTATACACATCCTCCTGTATACTTTAAATCTCCTATAGGTTACTTATAGTACATAACACAATGTAAATTCTATGTTAATCGTTATACTTTTATTATTACTGATGTTTTTATTTGCTTCTTGGGGTTTTCATTTACTGTTTTTTGAGACAGAGTCCTACTGTATAGTTTCAGGCTGGTCTTGAACTCAGTATCTAGCCCAGACTGGCCTTAGAACTCATGGTGACCCCCCCTGCCTCAGCCTTTGGTGTGTGCCACCAGGCCCGGCTAAACTTTGTTATTCAAAGAATAATGATAAATAAAAAATAACTGTACATGCTCAGTACTGATGGAGGTGTTTTTGAATATTTTGAATCTGTTGGTTGAGTCCTTGGATGCAGAACCCACAGATACAAAGGGATAACTTTATATTAATATTTTTAATAGCATGTAAACATGACTTCAGTAAATATTCAGTATAGGACTGATTGTATAAATTGTGTTGCATCCATACAGTGAAATTCAACTTTTATGTTAGAATCATGTAGAAAATTGCATGTGCTAATAATGTAAGATATTTTAAATAAACATGTTAAGTAAAAATCCTGCAAGTTATAGAAAGTCTAAAATATATTTTTTTGTGTTTATGTGCCTCAATATGCATGAAAATTTTCTGGAAAACTACTTAAATTGTTACTATTGTTCCTGAGAAGTAGGAAAAAAGGTTTATTGAGTGGGGAATATGATAAACTCTTTATTATATAAGCCATTTTTAATAGAAAAATGTGTTAATTTCTTTTTTTGCTAAATGATGTCTTATAATGACTTAAGTTTCTTCCACTCAGGTTGCATAGCCTTCACTGATTTCATTGTCAGAGTATTCTTTATATATCTGTATCTGTCTCTTTCTCTCACACACACACACATGCACACACATATACATACATTTTAGCTAAAACTACTCTTTTTCTGTTATTACTTTCAGGATAATTACTGAAGGATGAATATGGATTTTTAACTTTAGGTTTCTGCTAGAATTCTATCAATAGACTCCTAAATAAAAAATAGAAAAATGAAAATTTGGATGGACTGAAAAAAATACACATATCTGTGTATCTCTTTCAGGATGTTGCTGGAGCACTGTCAGTAGAAGAAATCACTGAACTTCTCAGTCTTCATAAGTTATGCTGTGGCCGTAGCTGGTACATTCAGGGCTGTGATGCTCGAAGTGGTATGGGGCTGTATGAAGGATTGGACTGGCTTTCACGGCAACTTGTAGCTGCTGGAGTATTGGATGTTGCTTGATTTCAAATGCCGCAATTATTTAGTTTTGTGGTTCAGAGTTATTTTGCATGTAGTACATAAGAAATTCTATATCACAAATATGATAGTTAATTAACAATGTGCACAGAAAAGAATCTTGGACTGGGAATGAGGTAGGTTATTACTTTTAAGAAATTATTCTGTGACAAAATTTGAATTATAGTAGATTAGTTTGAATTAACTAGAGATTTCTTAGATATACATTCTTTTAAAAAGTATATTTAAGATTTCCAGATTATATATTACCCCATATATTGGGAAGAAAGGTGTCATAGAGATAGGACAAAATGAAGGTTTTGTTTTTCCCAGTGAAAAACAGATAAGCTAATTGAGTACCTTTTGTAGCCTGTGTAGAACAAGGAAGTTGTTATTTCTTAAACTTGCCTTTCTACTGAATTTTGGCTACTTATTAGTAGACGTGGCAGTTACTTAATGAAACAGAATAAACTGCACTTGGTGGTAATAGGATTACTTCACTGTTCAGTATAACAGAACATCTTTAATGCAAAGAGGTATAAAGAATAAAGTGAATATTTTATACAATGTTTTATTAAAATTTTTCTCCTAAAGCATTTTGTATAAAACACAGAATGAAATGTTAATTAACTAGGCTTGAGTGTCAGATTAGTACTACTAAAATACAGAGCAATTAATAAAGTATGAAAGTCATTTGATCTTCACCTAGGTTTATTTCCTAGTCAGAACTCTAAATTGGTCTTTCTACTTTTCAATGTATTGTGCTTTTTTGTTTTGTTTTGTTTTGTTTTTTGTTTAAGAACACTATCCTTTGGGGGAGTCACTGTAGGTAAAACAAAGTCAACAAAAAGAACCAGTTTGTGGTTCTTTACATAAGAGACCTAAATAACTTTACATACAACAAAGCATTAAATCAGCTTTACATAAAAGAAACTAAATAGAAAACAATATTTATTTCCTACCTATTACTTATTTTGAAAATATTTCCCAAAATAAGTGCATTTATTCAACAAAAAACATGGTTAAGGCTTTTCATGACAAAGCTTCATAGTTATTTAAGAGAAAAGACATGTCTACAGAAGGAAACAAAACTTTGAGAAAGTTTACATTTGTTATGCAGTATTGTGAATAAAAGTAAAAAGATCGTGCTGTACTGTTTCTCATTTTTAAATGATACTCACAGAAGCATGATTTTATATATTTAAATGGCTATAGTTTTTCTTCTATGCTCTTCATACTTTGGGGTGAAGTTCAACCTTCAGTCTTATTAGCCGAATTATTGTAAGGACAATGATGTCTGATGACAAGATGTGACTCAGGTGGTACTGTTTTGGTTCACTTTTCAGATGTTTTTTAAACAATTTTAGAAAAACAAAGCATTTAAAAGTCCATCAGTGTTATGGGCAATATGTAAATAGGTATATTTTGTCCTTTATTTTTCAAGTAAAAGGTCATGCTATTACTGGTAGTTTGTGTGCATAAGTGATACTTTGGAATTAAATTATTTAATATTTGACTGATTTCAATGTAACTGTGAAAAACACAAATGGTGTCGCATTTGCCTGTGAACCCTTAAACTGTTTTCTATACTTGGTGATTGAAAAAAATGTAACATTAACATGTAAACTTGCTTTCCCTATAAATTATTATTTGAATAATTTGCTAAACTTTGTAATTTACGTGCTTAGTGTATAACTGAACACAATTTTAAAACTTGGCTCAGACCTGACTATAATGTATATATATTAGTAGGGTTTATGTTTGATTTTTCTTAAAAAAGTATTGTTTTCATGCTCCCATTACTATTTGTGGTTGTTGTAGTCTTTCATTAATAATTAGTCATGATTGTGCTAATTTCCTCTAGGAAATGTCAAACTTAAGAATAACAGATGTTTTAAATACACTATGTTAAGATTTGCCTCCTAGCTCTGAATTTCTGCGTTGTCTAATACTGTAAGGGTTATGTAAAGTTATGTCAAGTATATCACTCTGGTTTATAATTTAGGAATGCTTAAAACCACCAGAAGACATTATTTGCTTTACACATACGATCAGTATAGACAGTAATAAAATATTAAAATCATTATAACATCCTGTCATTATTCAGTGAAGTCTATTTCTTGAACCACGCCTCTACTATTTCTGTTAGTAACCAACTTAAAAGTCATTAAGGATGGGGGGTGTTCCTAGCATACTTGAGGCCCAGGTTTGATCTTTGGCACAATTAAAAGTGGGGAAGCTGATTTGCCTACTAAAGTTTAGCAGTTTATTTGATGAAGCAAAAATTTAGAAATAATGTATTCTGTATTTCTAATGTTACATCACCTTTGAATAATATGACTGCAGTGTTTTGAAGGGGGAGCTAAACATGAGATTTATTCTTTAGGTATTAAGTATTGCACTCAAGACCTCACATTTATCAGGCAGGTGCTGCCCCACTGAGCTATATCCTAGTCCCCAGAACATAGCATTTTAAGTGACTTTTTTTTCTTTTTAGTCTGGTTGAGACAGGGTTTCACTGTGCAGTTCAGGCTGGCCTTGAACTTGCTTTGTGGCCCAGGCTGGCCTCACAGCCTCCCCAGTGGTGGGATTACAGGCATGTGCCACCAGATCCAGCCTTGCAATGGCTATTTGAAAAAAATGGCTTAAGGTTTTCAAGAGTGTAGCTCAGCAGTAATGCACATGCTTAGTACGTACAAGGCTATGGGTTTATTTTGGGGGTGATATTGGGGGAGGCTTGAAAAACTCAGCTGTAGTCTATGAATGTTGAGGAGACTATATTTTAACACTGCACTGCTTTTCAGTTTTTAGAGTGCTTACAGGTAAGAAGACAGGTGTACTTTTCCCTAAAAGAATAAGAAATGAAAAACATTAACAAGTGTGAGACTGGCTTTGTTTTTGAGATAGGATCTTGCTAAATAGTTTAAGCTGGCCTTGAATTTGCAGCAACTCTATTGGCTTAGCCCCTTGAGTGTTGAGATTTTATAGACATGCACCACCATGCCCAGCAGAAGTAGTAGTAGTTCTTAATAAAGTAACTTATAACGGTAGTGATGAGCTCAATACATGACTTAGAAGTCATTTTTACTCCAATTTATACTGGGGCTGGGGATTTAGCTCAGCGGCATAAGTACCTGCCTTGCAAGCAGGCTGTTGTGAGTTCGATCCCTGGTACCGATAAAAAGGAAAAAGACAAAAAAAAAAAAAATTTAAACCTCCAATTTATACTAATCTCTTCATTATTACTTACAAAATTTTCCCTCTTATGTATATATCTCCTGATTGTATTTATTGAACTGAGATGTAACTTGAGGTAAAAAAGCTGTTTAGCTACATTAGAAGATATGGCAATAATCAGCCTGCATTTTAAAAATGCAAGTAATCACTTCTAGTTATTACATATAAAAATATTTCACAATATTAAAGAATGTAACACTTTTGACCAATGGAGCCTTCTTATTTATTGAAGATTTGTTTACCACTACTTGTTTATCACTACTTGTGATCAAATGACAAAAATACTTGGTATGAAAGAAATCCTTATAAAAGGAAATAGTATATATAAAAGTCTCTTTTTTTCCTTAGAAGGTGCTGTCATCTTCTAAACATAAGGGCAAAATACCTCGCATGTTTTTCAAGGTTAAGGAACAAATATGTACCACTTGCAATATTTAATATTTTTGATGCTTATAAGAAATTTTCTACAATGAATGTTATTTGCCTGCGTGTAGTCCATTTCACCATCTCTTAGGATTAGAAATATTGAAAGAAAAAGGCAGTTTTACAAAATAGACTTTAATGAGAAAAATATAGCATTGCATCTTTTAAAACGACATATAATCAGAAAATTTTAAGTTTTCTAATATAAATCTTGTTTAACAAATGTAATTTATTTGCAAGTACAGTGAAATGTTTTATTCTACTTGACAGTGATGTTTATAATGCTGACATCCTCATACGGTTTATCTGTTTTGGGATTGACTTTGACATTGGAGATCCTCTGCACAACTTCCATTCCTTTGGTCACTCTTCCAAACACTGTGTGTTTATTATCAAGCCAAGGCTGTGTTGGAGGACAAATGCAAAATGTTGGTAAATGTGGATTTCTTAATCTCACCTTCTGGGTGAAAAATTAAAGTACAATAATTTTGCAACAATAAAAGCATAGCAGGTTTGGGCTGGGGATTCAGCTCAGTGCATCAAGTGCTTGCCTGGTAAGCACGAGGTTGTGAGTTTGATCCCTGGCACACACAAAAAAAAAAAGATTAAAAAAATTTTTTTTAAATACTTTTAAAAGTTACTCCCAGGGAGGACTGGTATCCCTGTCTCATTCTCCCTGCAAAATTAATTTCACAGTTTTCTTTCTGAATATTTTCAATCTATGTTTTTAGTATCAGTAAGAAACATAATGACACATAGAATCAAGTTCAATTAAATCTACGTTCTTCAGACCAAAGGAAGGTAGATGTTTGCTCAAAGTAAGTTACTTTACGTGGATTTAAAAAATTAGGACTAAGGTATTGAAGTTCTCTGTTGGAACTTTCCTGGACAATTAAGAGGCAGTTTGAGATCGTTTACTATGCACTGTAATTGACAGTTAGATGGTAATTGATGTAACTGATAGTTCAGTTGGTAGGTATACGACTTAAGCTTTGGCAAGTTAACTGTGTCTTACCATGTTTCCTCGTATGTTACTGAAAACAATATAATGATATAACTATCATGAATATAATTGACAGCAGTTATAAGTATTTTTTCCTTTTTCATTGTTTAGTCTTTTAAAAAGTTTATACTTCTTATAATTTTGTGGAACTGCATAACACAGAGCTAGATGACCTAGCGACTTATATACCTAATTATGTTGTTGCTCATTACTACCTAATTGTATTTTATCAACTTATGTTACCTAATTATGTTGTTAGGTATCTTATTTTACCTAGGTATCTTAGGTAACTTATGTTACCTAATTATGTTGTTGCTCATTACTACCTAATTGTATTTTATCAACTTTTCTCTCAGTGCTTTCATTTTTGTACCTTGGCAGGTAATGCAGAGGGTGGACAGTAACACATCATTTTTGTCTACTGCCTTAGATCATAACCTATGAATCTATGGTTTATAAACAATGTACTCACTGTTGGTACTACTGTTATAAAAAACTGTGATCCATTAGTATTTGATCCAGCATTGGCCATGCTGAGGGTGTATGGTCTGTCATGTCTTAGTGTTGAATGAAATTCATCTTCAAATTCTCCTCCCCATATGCTTTCTCCTCCCATACCAGTACCTGTCGGATCTCCAGTCTGAATCATGAAACCCTTAAAATAAAATAAATAAAAGCATGTTACACTTTTAAAAATAGTCTATATATGTAGACCTTGCATATTTTATGTATTTCTGCCAAGAGTGCTTTGAACTCACTGAAATCCTTGCTTCCTTAAGTATCCCTACAAAGTGGTTAGATTACTCTTAGAAAGTTTAATTTGGATTATGTGTTTTTATTCAGTGACTGAAACAAGAATACAAAGATTTGGGCTGGGCTTAGAGGCACATGCCTGTAATTCCACTAGTCAGGAGGCTGAAGCAGGAGGATTGCCATGAATTTGAGGCCAGTCTGAACTACATAGTGAGACCCTGTCTCCCAACCCCAATACAAACATCTGCTCATCTATAGATTGTTGGGGACCACAAATTCAGTGACTGGTTTTGCGTATTTTCCTGTGGGATGAAAGGAAGGATTGAGATTGTTGATACCACCATCTGGGATTTCCCATTGACTTTTCCAAGCATAAAATCATCTCTGCCTTCTTTAATCATCACAGGATTATACTCAGTCAAAATACTTGAAACATAAGATTATCTATATCCTATGGAGTTGGAGTCGTTGGATGAACTATAATCCTTTGCTAGCCCCACCTACCACTGTACAGACCAAATAAATAGTGGGAGTGGAGGAAGTCAGATCTCGATACACTGACTTCCCAGCCATTGTTGGAATATGTTACTTGTCTCTCTTCTTTATTTTTCTGGCAACATTGTTGGGTCTGACAACTGAGATTCTTCGGTTCCCAGCATTACTTTCCTAATATGAACAAACTAATAAACATGTATGTTAAAATTTTATATTTTATGTCTTATATAACTACCCTCATTATCTTTCGCTCACCTCAAATACTGTAGACTTTCTGGAGTTGTTTCCCTAATTCCTTCAGAATTCTGATAACTAGTTTATTTTTCTTTCTAATTTTTTTTGTTTGCTTTTGGAGACAGTCTTGTGAAGTTCAGGCTGGCCTTGAAGTTATAGCAATTCTTCTAGTTCAGCTTCCTGAGTGCTGAGATTATTGGTGTGCAGCACTACAACCAGCTCTTCCTGCCATCTCTAACTTGCCAATAAATAAGAACTATATCACTGCCCAATCCTCTCTGGGATGCTGTTCAAAATTTCGGAGTTGAACTTACTCTCAGGTATAAAAATGGACTCACAGGTCAGATAGTATTGTAGCTCTTCTGTGGTTTAATATTTTATCCTCTAGATTAGACCTTCCCTAGGTACCAGGAGCTGGTTACCTTTATTACTGAGTTTTATCTCAGCATGACCTTTTATTCGTTATCTTTCCCTCTGCTTTACCTGCTGAATGAATGTTGCTCCTTCTGTCCTTGATTTTAGATATGCATGATTATCCACTCTTTTATTTTTTGCTTCTATAGTACACTTTCCTGTTTCCTTCTAATAAACTAGTATGTATAAGAGAATTCTTTAGGCTTAAATTCCTTGTCAGTAATGTACTATTTTTTAAATCACAAAAATCAGAAATTTACATAACTTACCTTAATTATACGGTGAAAAGTATGCCCATTATAGTAACCATTTCTACTGTGCACACAGAAATTTTCCACTGTCTTAGGGCACCTAGGAAGAGATACATTAAAAATATGAAACCCATTTAGAGCACCTTAAGACAACTTTGCAGTTTTTCTTCCTAATAATATTCTCAATATCTTCTGAATATTTCAGAAAATAATCTTATACATTTTCAGAATAAAACCAGTTGAAACAGCATGTAAGCTGCAGTATATTCTCATTTATACAATAACTTTAGATCATGATTGCTTATTGAGTCTGGCAGTATTTATATTTCAAGGACATTTAGTAGTTTAAAAAAATACAAGCCTAGCACTTTTAGATATAGATCTTAAGTGAATTTACCATACACAATAGTGGGTTAAGCTCCTAGGAAAGGTAATAGTCTTATAAAAAACAGTGTTATAGTACAGTAACTCATTCTTTTTTTTTTTTTTTTGGTACTGGGGCTGCATGCTTGCAAGGCAGGTGCATATGCCCCACCCCTCAGTGACTCATTCTTGACCAAGAACTTACTCACAGAAACAGTATTTCCCAAATTCAAATAATTTTAAAAGCTATTCTATTTGGTACTACATGTTTATTTTATAAACTTTTACACTATCCTGAATATTTTTCAACTTTTAAAAAAATACAGCCCCTATGTTTTTTGTTGGGATTCTATTTTTAAAGCTTATTGCTATTAGAACTAAAAAAGGAAAAACAATTACTTTTTCCATATAGATTTGCTGTAAGAGGAAGACCAGTTATAATAAAGCCACAAAATCTAGAGTTTAAATGTTCAGTTAATGATAACGATAATAAACGTTTGTAGACTTTATATTCAGTGCCCCCTCTCTTTTCTGTGCAGTGCTAAGGATCAAAGTCAGCCTTGGCAATGATAGGCAAACAGTTTACTACTGAGCTACATCCCTGACACACATTCAGCACTTTCATAGTCAACATATTATCCTTATAATAACCTTGTGAATGTATTTATAAAATTCTTCCCATTGGTTAGTTCACAGTTACAGAAATCTAAAGAACAGATGTTGTATCTAACATTACAATTCTTCAAAATTCTTTAAGTCAAAATAACAAACTAAGTTGTATAGTTTCAAATATACACATTTACAAAAAAACCTGGCATTTAGGTACAACGACAAAAGTATCACGTACTCAACGGGGAAAAGTTTGATGTGAATGTCTCCCATGCTTGTGTGGATAATGGCACTATCTGAAACTCGCTTAGGTCCTTCAGCTTGAGTAGCTGCCATGACTTCTTCTTTAGAAGGTTTTTCATTAAAAACATCTCGGTCAGAATCTGCACTTTTTGTATCCTCTGGCTCTCGTCTGGTAAACTCAAGAAATTAGATAAAAAGTGACTGAATGAATTAAAGTTTTCTTTTGGTAAAAATTTATGAATAAGAAAATTTCATTTCTAATACACTTTAGAAAAGTGAAGAATTCACCTCAGAATATATCTTTATATCATGAATCACCATCATAAAACTTTTAAGGCTATTAAATTATTAGTTAATATGAAACAGCCCATGTAACAATGAATTCGTATGGTTTAAAACAAGATTTGTTAAGTTTTTATTTAAAGAGAAAAACAAAACAAATCAATAAAAGGGTACAAATAATACAGAATTTCAAGAAAAAAACATACAGTAAGAAATCACTAGTTAATAGATTTAAAACAAGATTTTAAAAAAATGAGATTTAATTTCCTTTAGGTAGAAATTTCCTTGGAAACATTTACTAAGGTAATAAGATACCTTTTAGATAACTTAATTGAGGTAACTCTTCTACCTACTAGTATGTCTTAGTGTGCTACCTATAGCTTACATTTCACTATTCCTTACTTCCCAATGAATTTAGTAATTGTGCACATTACATGGACAGATATAAAGTGCTTAGAAAACAGTGGGCAATGGCTGGGGATTTAGCTCACTGGCATAAGCATTTGCCTGGCAAGCGCTAGATCATAAGTTCAATCCCCAGTACCAAAAAACAAAAAACAAAGTTAGAAAACAGTGGGCAACACATACTGGCCATTTCATAGATAGAATGCATTGCTAGGCAGGATAAAGATTCACAAAGGGGAATCAATAACAGATCTTAACTTTTTTTCCCCCCTAAAATACACCCGATTCTAAATTCTGAAGCTTGGAAGAAAGACAACAAATGGAATGAGGATATAGAAAGCTCAAAATCTTTAGGTTCCAAGGAGAACTGAAAAAAGTCTTTCTAGTTGTTAAAATTCTTGACTTCTGAAGACAGTTTATTTTACTTGTCTTTCCGTAAGTAGAAATCTCTAAGCCAGTTCTGCCAACTGAGTTTATGTCAACTAGGAAGGTAAAAATTAGTATACCAGTTCCTATTTTGCCTGTTTTTCCTCGATTGACTCAGATTCATTGCAAGTAAAAAAAGAACCATCTTATTCTCTAGCTTCTAAGGGAGTAAGATAACTACTGTACTATGTATTTATATACATTTTAAAAGTTATCTAGATTTAGCTCATATTTAGCTGTTTTTATTTCATGATGGATTTAAAAGAAAGGATACATACATATACACACACACCATCTTAGTTTTCCTTAAGGATATATATGCATCAAATAAAACAATCTGTAATAATGTTAACTGATTTTTTATTATGTATTTATGTATGTATGCATGTATGTATTTATTTTCTCCAGCCCTAAATATATATATATACTTTTGTTAGGAAAAGTTAACTATAGCAAAAGACTATGATATTTAAAATATTTTAAATAAAATGGATGGAAAATTAGTATGCTTTTAGAATTCTGATAATTTTTACTTCAGTATAGTTAAATTATACATAAAAGATACATTATTTTCATTTAACATATTAATAAATTTTTAAGTGTAATTGAAAATTTTGAGCAAAATTGTCATTTTAATCTAGCTATTTTAGATTGAAAGTCTAGTTGGGGGTGAAGAAACTGCTAGGTTGTACTATGTAGATAACCTTAATAGCACATCACAAGTAATCCTAATATGTATACTCATAAGATGAATGAGTAGGTATAGTATAATGGATTAGTCAATTTAATAATCTATGTGGACTTAATAGTGAAGACAGTGCACTATAGTTATAGATTTTACATTTTCTGGAGAACAGAATCAGAAACAAAAAAATCATTGACTTTAACACAAAAAAAGTGACATAATGTGATAGGGGAAGCACAGGAATAACTTAGAATTGATGCTCAGAGCAGCAGTCTTAAGAGCTGGAATAGGAAATGGGGAGAAAAATGATTGGCAGAAGGTATAACATGTCCAGGCTCAGAATTATAAAACAACTACTACTGTGAATGAAACAACTATGATACATTAAGTGTAGTAAATGAACTAAAAATGAAAAACAATAAAACTGCAGAAGTGAGCACAGCCAATTAGACAGTTGGGAAGTCAGTAAAAGGTTTGAGATAGAGAAACAACAGTCATAAGCAGATCTTGGAAAGTTCTATGACTAGTTTGTGGGACAAGTTGTCTAGGTTAGAGGCCTCGATATTATGTATTTTTACTGCTTGGATGAACAATTAGGCTCGTGCTACTCATAAGTATCTCAGGAGTTTGAGTGTGAATCCAATCTTACTACCTTGTTTTGTGGCAGTGCTAGAGATTAAACCCAAGGCCTTGTGGATTCTAGGCAAATGTTCCACCAATGAACTATACGCCAGCTCTCCAAAAGTATACCTCAGCAAAGTCAAAAGGTAGAAAAGGAAATATATTAAAGAGAAGGTATGCAAGTTCAAAAAATATAAAAAGTGTTCAAAAGCAAAGGATGAAAAAATAAAAACACTAAAAAGGATACTTAAAAATCTCACAGTGAAAACTTCTGGATATAATTTGTGAGGGCTGCTATACCTCCATAACTACTAACCTCCCATCACCTGCCCATGAAGAGCTGTAGAAACCAGGTAGTAAATATTTCAAAACATGATAGGAAACAGTACAAAATACCTAAATCAACTTCTAATTAAAAATTGTAGAATATTAATGTTATACATTGTTTAAAAAGTTTATGACTGCCAATATTCTCTTCAATTGAAGGCACAAACCAAGAATATAAAATTTACAACCTAACTAAAAAAAAATTAAGGTCATTTCCTAAGTACTTCCACATACCATATAAAATCTATTCTTTTTGAAAGATGTACAGACGATCGTTGGGTCAGCTTGAATATTCTGAAGAACAGGATTTTCAGAAGCTTTCATCTCAATAGTAGTTGCAGCACGATGCTTTTTGGCTATTCCTTGAAATAGAGCCAATTGCATCACTCTAATATTTTCTTGCTTGCCTAAGATCCGCACACACCTGGAAAATATAACTTTATTTTACACAATGAAATGACCAAAATTAGCTCTAATCATGGCAGCTTTACAGGTAAAAGTTAAAGAATCTGTTGTCGGTTATCTATAGAATCTTGTTCTTCTATCCCCAAAAATGTATTTTAAATTGGTTGGCAACTACAATTTTCAGGTAGAAATACAATCAAGATAGTGAAAAGATATAGGCTGGGATAAAATATTAACAAAAGACATCTGGTAAAAAGACTTTTATCCAATATACAAGGAACTCATAAACATATGAAAAGATATTTTACATCATATCAGAGGAAACAAGAACTAAAACAATACTGCCACACATTATAGCAGCTCAAATTGAGAACATTAAATACCAAATGTTGATGAGGATATGGAGTAAGAGGAACTCTCATTCACTGCTGGTGGAAATGTAAAAAGGTACACCCTATTCTAGAAGATAAAATATATTGGTTTCTTATGCAACTAAATACACTGTAACTGTATGACCTAGCATTTCAGCTCCTTAGTATTTATCCAAAGGAGCTGAAAACCTTTTCTTTCTATCCCCAAAAGAGTAATTTGTTTTTAGTGTTAAAGGCATTAACAATAGTTGTTTCATTATTCTGCATCCACATTGAAACTTACCTGCTCAGAACGCTGCAGACCCATCTGAGTTTCTAGTAATTCTTAAATAATTACTAAGACCTAATAATAATAGAAATCATAGGCAAAGGAAAGCCAAAAGAGCAGAGAAGGCCAAGCAGAGTTATTCAGACAGAATGGCTTTCCTGTGCATAGTTCAGAAAGACAGCTTTTCTGGGAGCTTAGAGATTAAGAGGGGAGGGGACAGGGATTTAGCTCAGTGGCACAAGTCCCTGCTTGGCAAATGCAAGGTCATGAGTTTAATTCTGGCACCTCCCCCCAAAAAAAATGATTAAGAGGAGAAATCTTTGGAAGTGGATTTGAGGATTAAGGGAGGCAAGAAGGAGGAAAGGGAAAAGGGATGTTAAAAGGGTCAAGAAGGAGTATGTATTTCTACCAATTCCCCACTACAAATTGTGCTGTAAGTATTGGAAGCATATACTAATTTAAAAAAATGAACTCAATGCAAACTGGACTCTGGGTGATGATATCCCAACTGTAACATGTTCTGCACTGAACACATATATTTTTTCCTTATCCCCTTAATAAAATAGTACAACAACTATTTACCTTGTATTAGGTATTATAAGTAGTCTGAAAGTATTTAAAGTATACTTATGAGAAGATATTGAAAGGTTATATGTAAATATTACACTATTTCATGAGGTACTTGAGTGTTCTTGGGATGTGGTATCCACAAGGGTTCCCCATGGATAACTACACTTTCAACTAGTCCTATTATTTTAATCTTTTTGCAAGTAGTGCAAGAATTTAGACTATCAAGAATTATAAGTATGTTTATATGCAGCAATTTATAACACAACACTTTTTCTCCTTAAAATATTCTATAAGTTCCTTACATTCAGTGATAGCTACCAAGATCAAAATATATTGTTTTAGGGCCAGGGATATAGCTCAGCAGTATAAGCACCTTCCTGGCAAGCACAAGGTTGTGAATTCAGTCCCTGGTACTAAAAACAACAACAATAACAAACACTGTTTTGAGCAAAGGCTTTGTAGTTTCATGTATTTTAACTTCTGATTTTATGTCTGGTTGATGTAATGCTGAATTTTATGGTTAGAATATCTGGCAACATTTAACATAGAATAGACTAATTTAAATAAGTAAAAAAAACACTGAAACTTGTTTAAAAAATGAAACTATGCATATTTTCTTTCTTTTATAAACAGAAATAGAAATTTCTGCAGATGATAAACAACTGAGAGACTACAGAAAAATCCAGTCACATCATCTGGTTTCACTTAGTCATTTGGGATCCTTCCACTTTTCATGGAACACACAAAACTCATTGTTCCCCTGATGGAGGAAATGTGCTGTATAATTGAAGTTTTAATAAAACACATCTCTTTATCAACTTACCGGTTTGTCTCTACATTTATAACTTTAATGCCCAGCATTGTTCCATATAGCACGAAGTATCCAGTTTCATCAAAAACTATATTAATTAATCGTACAGCATCCACCTTCTCCAACTCACGTTCTACAGCCATTCGTCGGCCGAATTCCATGTCTGGAAGCTGCTGCCTCATCTGTTGCAGTTCTGTAAACATCTAGGAAATAAACATTTATTGACAAAAATGCGCAATACATACATCTAATAGAGGCAATGAGAATCAAATTATCAGAAGCAGAATACACATCAAGAGCTATTGATAGTTTGTATATTTATGTATTTTGACAGATTCTAAACCCGACAAATGAATTAAAGAGACATTAATAAATTCAGTCATAAAAAGTAGTATTTTAGATCTAGGAATGTCACTTAGTGGTAGAGCCAGTGATTAGGATGTGTGAAGCCCTGGGTTTGAGATCTCACAACAAAAAAATTAGTTTGCATTAAATGGTAACTGTTTTTCTAATTAAACATGAACATATATAATTGATTAATGTAGTATTTCTTCTACAGAAATGATACATCTGTTGCCTTTTAAATCTCAAACTAGTTTTATCCAATGAAATATAATGCCAAGCCACATAAGTAATTCTAAATGTTTTTAGAAGCTAAATTTCTAGTAGCTAATTTTTACCTGTTTAATAAAACATTCATTTTAATGTTATTAGCATTCCTACACTAACAATTTTAAAGAATTGAGAAAACATTATTTTTTAGGTACTAAGTCTTTGAAATCTTACATGTATGTTACTTTTAGCACACCTTTATTCAGTCTAGACATGTCAAATCATCAAAGGCCACATGTGGCTGTACTTATTTCTGTTGGACAGTGTACTATAGAATGAGATCCTTGTACAAGGATCTTGAATCTGACATGTAACAAATAATTTCTCTGAATAAATAAACTTCTTTATAACAAATTCATGACATTTCACAAAGTATTTCAAGTTATTGCTATTAGGTAAATGTCATTTAGGAAAAAAGAGACTATGACTGACCTCTACTGTCTGGAAACTTGATTTACTTTTCTTTTGATAGTTAAGACAAATTTTCAAAATGTGAATTACATCTCAATTACTCTGTATTTGTACTCTAAAATGTATTATATTTACACTCAGATTTTTAGACATTCAAGACATCAAATTGAATAATTACCTGCATATTTCAGGTAATAAATACTGAAAGGTAAAACTTCACACTATTGCATTCAATTTTTTGTCAAACTGGACTTGACATATGATTAGAAGTTTTCCCTTTCTCCAACATGGAAGTACAAGATTCTGCTTATTTACAAGTCACTAGCATTTTAAGTAACTAGGTTAGCTGGTCATTTTCCTTTTTTCCAACTTTTGTCACAGCTTTATCCTTAACCTTGTCACCTAGTCCCATCACTTTAGAAAATGTTGATAACAAGAAAGAATGAAATGTACCACTCAGAATAGGTTCTGAATTTTTTTTAAATTTGGTATTTTGAGATAGTGTCTTCTTATGTAGTCTAGCCTCATTCTCAAACATCGACCTGCTTCAGCTTCTGAAGCAGGATCACAAGCATTTGCCACCATACCTAGCTTCTGAACACTTCTTTTCTTAAGGAATCTGAAAGGACCTACAAGTTGTTATGTGGACAAAAGTGAATAAAGAGAAGGGAATCTAAAATGAGTTTTGAGGGTATTAAAAGAGGAGGAGCTTGCAGAAATAAGTAGAAAAAACACAACAAAAATATCTGTAGTCTCATCCCACCTATCTTTAAATAGGAGGTTAACTGGCTTGGAAAATACCACATAATAAACCTAGGCAAGAGAGTTTGGAAGAATAACAATACAACATACAAGTCAGTTAAACAGTATCTTTAAAAATGAAAAAAAGTACAAAGTAAACATTTTTAGAAAAGTTAATTAAATTTTTTTTTTTTGTCTTTTTCCTTTTTATCGGAATTGGGGATCGAACTCACGACTGCCTGCTTTACAAGGCAGGTGCTTATGCCGCTGAGCTAAATCCCCAGCCCAAGTTAATTAAATTTAAATTGCACTTACACTTAATGATTCATCAAAGACTCTCATGAGTTTTCCAGTTAAAAACCTGAAAATTCTAACTTTTCTATCAGAACCAATAGTTGCTATTTTCTTCCCATCAGGTGAAAAGCATATGCTGGTTGGATAAGCTTTACACTTGGCAAATTCATATAAATCTGTATCAGTTTTATATTCCCAGTTTACATTTCTTGGGAATTTATATTCATGAGGAGGCCCAGTCCAATACTCAATCATTCCAGATTTGTCAGAAGACACCACTGCTTTGTAAACTGGGTTCAGCCGTATTTGAGTAAGAGGTGATGTATGGAGTTTGTCAAATACATGAAGGGGCTGGTTATCTCCTCGACCGTCATAAATGAAAATTTTTCCTGTACTCTTCTCAGAAGCAGCAACTGATGATATGGCATCTCCTGGGCAATAAATCCACTCACATTGTCCTGGAAAATAGCTGAAACAGTGAATTAAGGAGTGGAAGAAAAAAAGGCCAATACAGAAAGCAGACACCTCTCCTTAGACCATTACTAAATCACTGTCCTCAAAAGCAGTTTTGGATTTTGTGCTCAGAAGTAAGAGATACAGAATGGGGAATAGTTACTTAGTTTTGACACCATCAATATAACAACTTCTGAGGATTTACCAAATAGAAGAACTCCATAGGTCGGCCCATTTATTTCTCTTGGGTAGATAAGGTAAAAACCTAATCAAACTTGAGCATTAAGATATTCTGGGGTATTGTCTTTTGGATGTCTGTAAAGTAGTTTACATATACCTAACTTTTAAATAGATTAGCATACATAGCATCCATTACTAATCCTTTCTTAAAACAATTAATATATTTCTGTTATGACTTAGTTCAAAAGAAAAACACTTTTTATCACATTTAATTATTAACTAATCTTGAAATAAAAACTGTAAGCTTTGGACATGCTGCCTGATGAACAAAGGATACAACTAGGACAGATTTAATCTTATGCTAAACTTACACATTCAGGTGAGTGTAGACTCCTACCAAGTAGTCACTCTAAGGAGTTCCACTACTACACCAACCATGATGTTAATGCTCAACAGCAGTTTGGAACTCTGCATTTAGAATTTCTACCAATGCCTAAAATATATACAGTGGTGCCTTGCTCGGTTCATAAATTTAACTCTTTCCATGATTCTGGTGTCAAATCAAATTAGATAATAACCAAATCAAATTTGGTTCAATGTAGACCTTATGGAGAAATTTGATTTGGTTCTCATCCAGTTTGGTCTGTGATCAGAATTATGGAAAGAATTAAGTTCATTAACCAAGCTAACGATGTATTTTGAATATTCTCAAAAGCTAAGGTTTAATATTTTTGAATGGATTTGATATTTAAAAATATGCAATGTTTGGAGAAAACAAGCTAGAAAACAAGATGATCAAGGTAGGTAACTATTTGTGATAAAAATTTTATAGATTAACTAGTTTCCTTTAGTAGCTCATAAAATAAAACATTTTGAATGAAATTTCAAAATTTGGAATTTTTTTTTGAATCATGGACATTATGTAGGCCAAAGTAGTATTTTTTGAGGTGAGGTTTTGGCATATTTAAGGTTAAATGAAGTCATAACGGTGAAACTCTAATCTGCTAAGCCTATGGCTTTAGAGGAAGGCAAAAGCCCTGGGTCAATCCCTACCCTCTTCACACACAGACATATACATAACACAAAGATGTCCCTCTCCCATTCCTTCTTCCCTTAATCACATGAGGACATAGAAACTAGGGACAGAATTGTCAGACAATCCTGCTGATCATCCCATGAGATCCTGTGAGAAAATAATTTCTGTGAAGTCACATTCTGTGGTATTTTGTTATACTATTCAGGCAGAATAGAGCAAGCTGGAAAACTTACTGACAGCATATGACTTTCAGTGGTATTTCATTTAGAGATGTATTAAATTAGTGTGTTAACTTAAAAAAGATATGCTTAGGGGCTGGAGGTTTAGCTCAGCGGCATAAGCACCTGCCTTGCAAGCAGGCAGTCGTGAGTTCAATCCCTGGTACCGATAAAAAACTAAGACAAAAAAAAAAAAAAAAAAAAAAAAAAAGTATAAGCCTTATTACTGTATTATCTAACCACATAGTTTGGGTATAATATACTGTAATGTTTAAAATCTACCCACAAATTCCAAAAATATGCCTAAACTTGTAAAAACACAATTCCACATTGTTAAAATAAGTGCAGTATGGGAAGGAAGTTTATTCTAAGTTCAAATAATTAGATATGATGGGTGCTTATTAATATAGTAAGCAGCATTAGTTAGATATAATGAATCCTTGTTATGATGCTGTTGGAAATTTCTGATTAGATTCTGCTAGAGCAGAAGTTTCTGAATAACATCACAAGGATTCAGTCTAATTTCTCACAAGCACATTTTAAAAAATGTGATATATACTGTTAGTAAATAACTTATGCAATAGTGAAGTTTGGTTTAAAAGTTATTTTACTAAGTTAAAAAATATATTTAGAAAGACTCACCCAAGCTTCAGCATATTGATCATGTCAAAGTTCACTACATCAAACACCTTCATTGCTTTATCATCACCCACAGAACAGAACAATGCTCCCTCAGAACTAACAGCAATGCTCTCAATAACCCCTATTTGAATGAATAAAAATGAGTAAATACCAATAAAAGTATACAGTTCAAAGAAAACAATGACAATATTTTTAAAAGAAACTAATTGGTACAGTTTAAAAGATCTATAAAAAACAAAAAGATGAGTTTCTTACCCAGGTGACTACGAAAATGTTTGACAAATTCAATGCCTTCTTCTATCTTTTTCCAGAACTTAACATGTCCATCATGACTGGCAGTAATAATAAAGTCTGTCCTACATATGCAAGATTTCAAAAGTTAATTTCTAAAACAGATCTATGAATCACTCATTCACAATCTTTGATTATTTCTTTTTTTTTTTTTTTTTTCCTTTTTTCAGTAGGTGAGTTGTTACACACTCCTTAGCGGATTCCAACTTCCATGGCCACCATTCTGCTATTCTTTGATTATTTCAATAGGATTAGATATATGTATATATGCTGTACAAGTATAAATGTTTACCACATGTGACCACTGTATGTATATGGATAGGACATTTCAACTAATTTTAACCTCAGAAGCTACATCCAAACAAAATTAGGATTTGATATCAAAAATAAAGCTAGGTGTGGTGGTATGTACATATAACCCTAGCACTCTGGGATCCTGGGGCAGGAGGATTTGCAAGATGGAGCCCAGCCTGGGCAACTTAGTGAGATTCTTGTATTAAAAATAAAAAGGACTAGGGATATCGCTTAGTGTGAAAACCCTGGGTCCAATCTCATCACTACACACATTCACAAATAATAAAATAAATAAATCTCTCAAGGAATTACTAGTCTTTAGGATTTCCTATTGCTGAAATTATTTTGTAGGTAGTATTTTCATGAGAAAATGTACCAGTTTTGAGAAGCTGATAAACTCTTTCATATATAGCAAAATTCAACATAAATTTGTTTTCTTTTCTATCCAAAACATTTTGGTTATTTAAGAGTCAGAAAGATTCAGATTCAGAACAGTTTCTCCTATAAGAAACACTGAAACTACTGAAACCAAGTATGTGTCAAGCATTTTGTACATATAACTAATTAATCTTTATAACAATTGTATTAGATATTTTATCAGTATTTTATACATCATAAAATAGTTTTAAAATATTAAATTTGCTTGTGCTAGGTTCACAGCTAGTGAGTGGTTTATATTTAGTTCAAAACTGTTTATATTTAGTTTGAATTGTCCTATGAATGAAATAAATGTGTACATTCATATCTAAAGTGAAACTTGTTTTAAAAGATTAACAGACTAATCCAAAAAACAAAGCAATCCATAAGAGATTAAGAGTGATGCAAAAAAAGTTTCTACTTTCCATAGTCACTGCTGATATCATACAAGCCACCATCATATCTCATCCAGATGTCTATACTAGCCTTCTTGTTATCTGTTTTCCCTATACCTATTCTTACTCTCTTTGAATTCATTCACCTCACCACAGCCAGAGTGGTTCTTTAAAAAAAAAATCTTGCTCACAGGTTCAAGATCCATAAAATTCCTTACATTTAGCTCTTAATAATTACTCTGATTAGCTCTGAGAGCAATAGCCCTTAGTAATTCCTCTGAGATTTAGCCCTTGGCTTCCCCAGCCATTATCTCTCTGAATCTGTTTTCTCATCAGTAAAAATGAAGGTCATACACAGCCATAAGGCTGTTCTTGAGACAATTTATATAAAAGCACAGTATCCGGACATACTGTGGATAGATCCACAGTAGAATATCACTACTCCAAACTCCCCACTCATCCATTTTGAAGATCCTTGGATAGTTCTAAGATGTCTTTCTTCCTAATATTTTCTTAGTGCCAAAGTGTTCAGCTATTAATTATTCTTGTCTTTAGTAATATTTTCTCTCCTCAGGGATGCTCAGACACTACCTGTTTCATCCCTCTATCTACATTTTCTAAGAAAAAATATGTACACATACTATGGGTTTCTGTCTTAGTGAACATATTCCTTAAATGACAGGAAAAAAAAAAAACACTGGCTTTTAAAGAACTATTACAACTTATGGGATTAAAACAGAAATATATTTCTATATAGCTAAAAAATTACTTCTATAAATCCACCTCAACACTGAAGCTTAAAAAAAACTTCCTGTGGAAAAAATAAAAAGTACTGATAAGACTTACTTGGTACATACCACATGGGTGATAACATCTCTATGCATATAACTGCGCTCATACATGGATGCACTAGGGAGATTATCAAGATATACTCTCTCAAATTCTAGAACTGTGGGAAAAAGTAAAAAATATTTTTAAGAAATGAATGAAATGAATATTATTTTGTACTTTAGAATTTAATTCACCAGTAAGGGAAAAATTCAATGTCTATTATGTCAATTTTAACTTTATTTCACAATATTAAATAGCATCATTATTTAGTCAGTTATATGTTTCCAGGGATTATATAGATGCTTGTCCAAACTGTGTCAATCAAATGAATGGTTCTAGCTTAATATGAAGGTTCCACTTAAAAAAAAAAAAAACACTGTAAAAAGCTTCATAAAAATATAACCACCTTCCTAACCATGTAGATTCCACTCACTACCACTAATTTAAAAAGAGGCCTATGGTCAAGATGTCTCAGTTCATTTTAAGGCACTAATCTCTTTTACTTTTTTTAGGTCACTGATACTGAAGTGAAACAGATAAATTGTTCATTGTTCATGTTTTTAGAGCTGAGAAAACCCTAGAGAACATTTGAGAGCTTCTCAGATTACTTTCCAGGCACACCTGCAAGAGCTGTAAAGAGGGGCTGGGGATTTAGCTCAGCGGCATAAGCGTCTGCCTTGCAAGCAGGCAGTCGTGAGTTCGATCCCTGGTACCAATAAAAAGGAAAAAGACAAAAAAAAAATGGATTAAAAAAAAGAGCTGTAAAGAGTAATTTCAGGAAATCATAATTTATTATATGAGCTCATATATGTACCAAATAATTCAATAATGGCCAAACATGTCTATATAAACTTACTAAATTATGAGTTTTTCATGATTGTTTCATCCACCAGTACTTTCCCCATATTTGTTAAACGGATTAGAAATTTTATCCTCATGTGGCTGCTATGAGGATCAAACGAGAAACACCAAACATGTTTGCTTAAACATGTTATATACTAGCAAAAAGACATCAACATTGTTACATACTAGCAAAAAGACATTCAAACCCATGTCACCATTCTAGGTGGACGCTCAAGTACCACGCTGACAAATTGAGAGGACAATCTTTTGTGAGCACAGTATCCCATAATCACACAGCATCCCTCTTAGGATCTTGCAGGAACTCAAACCTCCCATTTAGCAGGCTCTGCATTCCAATTTGCTATTGTTCTAACTGTGCAGCTACCTTTCCGCTTCTTGGCCAGTGTTGCCTCCACAGGTAAAGGCCCAACCCAGCGCTCTTCATTCTCCTCAACGTTTTCTTGAGCCAGTCCCACCGCCAGTTCTTTCTCGCTGAATTCCGATTTCTCAGGATCCTCTGTGTCCCGGCGGCGCCTTCCTCTCACCCGCGAGTCACTACCACTTTCCGCCGCCATGTTGTCTGAATCGTCAAAAAAGACGCGACGCACAGTTCAGCTGTCAGTTCCAAAGCAGCGGCGCAGCGTGCCGTCAGCGTCCGAACGAATTCCAGGGTTGGCTGGGATGGGGAGGAGCAGATCCAATCAGAAAACAGCGCGCGCAGATATTCGCCCTAGTTTGAAATGCGAGTCGCTGGGAGGATTTGAAGAGTGCGGAGTTTGTTCCTCTGTGAGGTAGGTATGGAAGAGGCCTTAATGATTAATGATTCAAATTTGTCTCCGGGCCTGGTAGTTTACAGAATTTGGAGTGTCAACCGAAAGACTGAATCCTCATCACCCAGGAACTAGATTCCTGAGGTCCAGTAGGGCCTACTGTCAGGTCTTCTCCGCCTGTCGCGCGACGTGAGCGCCAGAACCCGCGACGTGAGCGCGGGTTCCGGGACAAAGGTGGGGAGTGGGAGTTGGAAAAAATTAATTAACTCGCCACGCTCCAAACTTGTCTTCTCCCTCACGTTTATTTTCTCACATGGTGAGAAAGGTGGCGAGTATTTGTTACTGCGCCCGGGGGCGGGGAGGAGGGCAAGAACTAGCCACCTTCGGTAACCCGCAGGGAACTAAGGCTGGAACAGCCACCCCCTCTCCACCCTGGGCTCCCGTCTCTTCTTTTGGCAGCCTTCAGAGACTTCAGTGTCTGCCCCCTTTCCCCGCATCCAGCCCATCACTCTTTACATGCAATATAAAACTTTCATGAAATTTACCATCTTAACCTTTTTTAAAAATCCATTAAGTCGGACCTCCGTTTTTAAAAATTAAAGCAATTTTAACAGCGCTTTCAAAAGCTTCTTTGTTGCCTATTTCAAACCAATAAGTTACTTTTTTCTTAAGTAGACACCAAAGGTAGACTTCTTTATGGAAACTGCCCATAGTAGGCCTTGTAAAAGATTTTTTTTTGTTGTTATTTCTTGAAATGGCGAAAGGCCTCTATTATGTTACCCATCCTACCTAGCAAATCTGTTTTCTTCTCTTCCTTCTAATTTGACAACTTTTATGTCTCAAATTTGACTTGCCTTCCATCCTATGTTTTTATGCTTTGAAAGCATTCCCGTAGCCCCTGGCTTTCACCTTTCCAGCTTCTCATCTTTCAGAGTCCATGTCAATAACGAGATTGAAGATAGTAAATGGTAATAGAGGGGGGCTGGTTAACATTTTAAAAGCATTGTATACTAATCTATTCTTCAGGTATGTTTCTCAAACATTAATCATCTTGAATTCTGAAAGCATATAAAGTTCTGTGTTGTATGATTTACCACTTCACAGCACTTTAACTACCTGAGATCAGATCATGTTAATTTGTTAACGTTATCAGTCCTTCATGAGAATGTAAACTACATAAAAAGAGACTTTTTCACTTACACATCTATAATGATGTCTGACCAGTAATATGTATTAAAAACTTTCTGAGTAAATGAATACATCTCAAGAGTTTCAACTGAATACTTTATACATTTCTTTTACATCTATTGGTTTTCTTGCAGTTAATCGTTTGAGTTTAAGTTGGCACATCAAGTATTACTCCTAAATATAGTGGTGTTCTTCAATAAATAGATATTGTAATCTTAACTGGGGAACCTTAAAAAACTGAGTTGTTCCCTTTCTAGAAAGATAAGAGTTAGGGACACAAAATGTAAAAAAAGGATAAACTTACATTTGTGTGAATGTGTTTTAAAATACACAACAGTAATTTATTGTAGTTCTGGAGGCTAGATGTGAGATTAGCATCTGGCATTCTCTGATTTTGGTGAGAGATGTCTTCCAAGTTGCAGACAAATGACTTCTTGTATTTTTTCAATGTGAAAGTAGCAAATCCATAAGTAAATGTTTTATTTATTTGTATTCTAATGCTACGTTGAATTGCCTTGTCCTCTAATTTGAATATCTGTACACACATAGAATTCTGCATTACTTTTGGGTATTGATAATGTGTTTTAGTGATCAGTATTCTACAAGGGAGGAAAAGATTAATTTACACTTAATTTCTTAAGGTATTAAAAATAGAAAATGTAAAAGCTAAGATTATTAGCATTTTTATGTTAGTTAAATGGCCTTCTAACTGATCTTAGAAGACAGTGTTCATGCAAACATATCTAATCTGTGAGATTAATAGGAGTATAATTTTTGAGTCAAAAATAATTGCAGAATTTTGATGGTATTACTGATTATTCTCTAAGTGCTTGGTCTACGTAAAGTGCATGTTTTTGTTCCACATGTTTGCCAGTATTGTTTCTTATTAAATTTTTCATTCATTAGTCTGAATGAGAAATATTGCCTATTTAATATGCATTTTTTTAGTACTGGTCTAGCCATCCAGTGTTGTGTTTATTATATTTGGTTGTGGTTTGCCATTCTATCTTGTTCTGTTCAATTGTGGATTTTAATTTTAACTTTGTTAATGAGATCTTTATACATGCAATATTTAAAACCATTTTTATGTAAAAATTTTATTAGTTATTTGTATTGAGGCTTGTCTATTCCAAGATTTTTGTAAAAAGTTTTAATGATCCTTTCTATTCTTTTTCATAATTTCTGTGTTTGGATTTTTTTGAGGGAGAGAGGAATGGTGTAAAAAGTATCTCTTCAGTATACTTATTTCCTTTCCTTTGGATATCTCTCTAGTGGTGGAACTGCTGAATCGTACTGTGGTTCTGTTTTGTTTTTGTTTTTGTTTTTTTTTTGTAAGAAATAACCATTGTATTTTGCATAATGGCTATAATATTCCCTCAAATAGTAGTACATTATTGCTTCCTGTCAGTACCAAAGATTTTTGTCTATTTTGGTCTCTGCTATACCTTAATTATCTAGATGAGCATCTGATAGGTAATAAATGTTCAACAAATACTTATGAATGAATGAAAACTTTTACTTTAGTTTTTTTCAGATTTTATTAGTACATTTTAGATATACATGATAATCACATTCATTGTAGAGAATTTTTGTGTACATAATATAACGTGTTTTTTTTCCATTCCCGTCTTCCCCTTCAACCTCTGATTTCCTCCTAGTTTTTCTTTTAAGACAGAAAAATCACAAAGCACATGAATCAGCAAAAATTAGATCCAGATAGTACTACAGATATGGAAGTTAACAATACTGAAGAAGAACTTGTTAAAGAATGTGAAGAAATGTGGGAAGACCTGGAAGAAGTAAGTGTCAAGAGATAAAAGCAATATATCAGTTAATTAGTATGATTTAATGTTGTAATAATGGTTGGACTTAGGTTAAATAATTAGGCTAGTTGTCAAAATCTGTTTTATATTAGGTAATGAATATTTATGCAATGTTTAGTCCTAAAAAATGTGTATACCTAAAGGTGTGCACTCAAGAAACTTTATACTAGATAAGCTATGGAAAGAAAAATTGTGCCATTCCCTACTCTCGAGGAGATGAGCATTTTATGCAAGCGATAGCCATGCATAATATTACATGTCATATAGTATTAAAAGGATACCAAAACTTAGGAAAAACACTTAACCTAGGCGATAAGAAAAGAAAGATGTAGTCAAGGATTTTATTTCTAAATAGTAAATAAGAGGTTAGGCTGTGTAAATAGGATAGTTAGTGAGATGTGATGGTACATGCCTGGGAAGTAATAGAATTGAAATTTTGAAGGTAGCCTAGGCAACTTAGCAAGGTGCCTCAAAATAAAAATGTAAAGGGGCAGGAAGGTAGCACAGTGATAGAGTACCCTGGGTTCACTCCCTATTTACCCTGCTCCCTAAAAAAGAAAATAAGACAGGAGGTATACAAAGGTGGAAGGTCAAAATGTGTAGTTTGGAGAGTTTAAGAGAATCTATATAGAATATTAAGAGTAATGTAAATTAGGAGCAGAACGACTTGCAAATGAGATTTCAAAGAAACCATGAATAATTTGGTGGACATGTGTTATAGGAAACTATTAAAGGATACAAACACAGAAGTGAGCTGATCAGATATGCAGATTAGAAAATGAACTCTTGTGAATTTGAAAAGAATGGAGTATAGTAGTACTGCAGGTACAAAGAATGTTAGAAAATTCTAGTGGTAGTCCTGTTTAGAAGTGATGATGGTCTAAATACTATTATGACAAGTAGAAGAACGAGTTGAAGAGACACTGAAGAAGTAAGACAAAAGGATATAGAAGTTCATTAATGTAATAAGAGGTGATTACAATGAATATTTTCAGGCTCATGGTTTAGGCCTTTATGGGAGATTGGAGGGTTTATTCCTAAAATAGAGTGTACAAAAGTGGAACAAATCCATAATTATGAGCATAAACACAATGAGTTTGAAATGTGTGCACATATTCTGTTTTAGTGAGCTAGAACCTCTGTACAGCAGTATTTCTACATAACAGTATTTTGGTAAAAATTGGTTCTACCTCAAATATTCTACCATATGATATGAGTCACAGAAATTTTTAGCATTTTTTTCTTTCCAGAGAGTTTTCAGAACAAAACAGATTAGTGGAGTCTTTTCTGAATCATTTCTAACATAAATTTTTGGTTCTCTGTATTATTAATATGGTTAGTACATAATTATAAAATCTTATGCTGTTTGGTATAGAAATTGGGGTTTAAGAACTACAAAAATTTTCCTAGAGAAAAATATTATAACAAGAAAAAAGTAGCAATAAAATTTAAGATACTCTTGTTTTTACCATTAATTGCTTTTTAAAAAATGCCAATATCATTTGAAGGGATTATTTTCTTATTAATTTCTTACCTGTTTTACTTTTCTATATTATTTTCCTTCTGATTTCTTACCTCCCATTTTTTCTATTATGTAGCTTTTAATTTACTCTAGTTACTAGTTTTTTTTTTCTATGCTAGTTTATCACTGTTGATATATTTACGTTGGAAACTGTCTTTGGCTGTCTTCCTGTTCCTCTTGCCTAAAATGAAACTTTAAACAAGTTCATATATCAGACATGTGTATGTTCTTTTTGAGGAGTATTGTATTGGAGTGGTACAAAAGTGGTGTAGGGGAAGGAAATTATATATGTGTTATAATGTCTGATTTGTTTTTCTTTTGCTTTTAAATCAAGTGTCAGAATAAACTATCGCTTATTGGAACTGAGACTCTCAGTAACTCAAATGCTCAGGTATGAACTTTTTTTCTTACTAAGAATAGGTAAATGAAATTCATTAGATTTTGGAAGAGATGTATTCCTATTTATATTTATTCCAAATAGAATAGCTTTGTTAATACCTGTATTCTTAATCGTTTTGAAAATTTATGATCTGATTTAAAAGTTGGAAGAAGCAGTCTATAAACTTTCTAGCAAGTGTCATGATATATACTTGAAATCTCAGCTACTTAGGAGGTTGAGACAGGAGGATCAAGAGTTCTAGCGCCAGTCTAGACAATAAATAACAAGAGCCTACCTCAAGAATAAATGAATGGGGGCTGGGGATTTAGCTCAGCGGTATAATTGCCTGCCTGGCTAGCTGTGAGGTTATGAGTTTGATCCATGGTACCAAAAAATGAATGAATGAATGAATGAAAAATTAGAATAAGATATTATAAAAAAGAAAGTATTTTCTATAGTTTTGTCTTTTAATAGCCATAAACGCATTTAACATTGCATATATCATCACACCTGCTAGAAAGTTTATAGAGTGAATCCCTTGGGTTTTAATTATGATACATTGTTAAAAGTTAGTGTAATAAAAAAATGAATTCTACTTTGTCTTAGGTATAACAACCAGATATATTTTACTGTGTAGTACACTAGTTGATTTTACCCTGAGTTTAAAAAAAGATTTAATAATAATTTAATTCCATTATAATAACTGAAATAATGGAATTTGTTTAGGAATAGATGTGTGTCATTTAAAATTTAAAATATGAGAAAAATAGTTCCAATTCATGAGAAAGGGATGAATTAGTAAGTGACAGTGATACAAACAGGTACCCATGTGGAACAAAATTAAATGGACCCCTATTTTTCATTATATACAACATAAACCCCTAATGAATTACCTAAAATATCATATAAGAAAAGCAGGGTATTTTTGCAAGCTAGGGATAAGGGTACATTTTTTTGCTAATAATATAAATTAGATAGTATTTTTTAAAAAGTTACTTTTCTCTACTTACTGAGGCAAAATACCCAACACTCAGAGTTAAAGAGGGCAAGCTTGCCTAGCTCACAGCTTTTAGAGGTTTTAATCCATAGTCAAATGACTAAGTCATAGTGGCACATTGCAGAGAAGCATTATAGAGGAGAACAGTTTATGGTGCCCACAAGACAGCAAAAGTGACAGGAGAGAATGAGAGAAGCCTCTTTCCATTCTTCATATTGTATAAAGTCTACTGGGATTAGGCTAGTGCCAATCCAATTACTGGGCTGATTCAGCAGTGACCCACCCTCAATCCCGGCACCTTTCATCCTAGTATTGCACTATGAATCAATCACACATTCTAGATTCAGCCACCTCTGAAAAAACCTTATGACCACATGAGGCTTTTTGGGGATATCTAGACACAAAACATAACATGTAGCGAGTTAAAAACAAGCTGTGCATAGTAGCACACACTTGTAATCCCAGCATTCTGGAAGTCTAAAGAACAAGGATTGCTGGGATTGCAAATTCAAGCCCAGCTTTGACAATTTACTGACTTAGATACACCCTGTCTCAAAATATTTCTAAAAAGGACTGGGAATATAGTTCAGCAAAAGGCCCTGAGTTCAATCCCCAGTACTAGCTCTACTCCCAAAAATTAAAAAACCTTTTAGTGTTAAGGACGGGGTCATTTTTATAGGTGATTCCAATGGATGTTCCCTAAACTTGTACAGGAATATCAGAAGGCAAAAGAACTAACTTGAATGTGATCCTATTTCCCAAATTCAGTATCATAAAGAATAATATCTTGGGGCCAGGGATTTAGCTCAGTGGCATAAGCGCTTGCCTGGCAAGCGTGAGGTCATCAGTTTGATCCTGGGTACCAAAAAAGAGAATAATATCTCTAATTGTTTATAACAGTATGAAAGATAAAAGTCCATTATTATAATTCTACTCAAAAATGAGAGAGAGATAAAGAAAGGGAAAATATTTGGAATAAGTTCTAACATCTAAAAATTAGTGATAATGAATTAATCTATAAATAAATACACAGCTGTGTTAGAAAGATAAAACTGAATATTGCATTTGGAGAAGTACTTACTACATAATACGTAAAGGATCATCTTTCTTGGGAAATGTGATCTCTGAGTTGTAGAAATTAAGACCTATCAAATCAAAAGGACTAGGCATTATGTCTACAAGCTGACTCAATGATTTTCATGTGGTGAACCTTATACTGGCTTTCAGGGGAGTACTTATGTCTGTAAAAGTGAAATGTCCTGAATCCATAACAACAGTATTCAAATTGGCAATATCTAGTTTTCCTTTTGTGTTATGAGTTCAAAGATGATCATTCAGATGTTTGATGATTCTTTTAGATGACTCCTAGCACTCAATACATAGTGTCTTCTGTTCCACTGACTATGATCTATTATGGGGAAAGTTTATACTGTAAAATTGATGAATGGTAAAAGTGCTTGGAGAATAACATGGTTTGATTAGAATTTTTCCAAGATCACATTTTTTTCTCCTTTGACGAGAGAATGGAAAGAGGAAATATTTGGAATAGGGATATATTTTTAGGAAGATAATGGAGAAATACAGTTGATAAATGATACTTTTCAAAATTCCACAGGACACCAGGCACAAACTTTTAGGAATTCTCAGAGACTCAGGGCTCATAGTTTGTTATGTGAGCTGGTCACATAGGAGTCTTCTATATAATAGTTACCAAAATATGAGATTACTAGATTAAAAGTAGGCCAATTCTTTGCACAGACAGTTTAGTTCTTTGGTGGATGGGAAACATCTTTAAATCCTTCTAGGCTCACAAACACCAACTTACTTTGCAAAAGACCTTTTCCGAAATACTGGTTTCAGCCTGTATTGTTAACCTTTCTCTGTATACCTGTTATTCTTAAGATTTTAGTATTATAATTCTATATTTTCTAAAATGAAGGTTAAACATTTTAACTGACAAGATTTCTCAAAATTTTGTACTGAAATATTTTACAAATACTGTTATATCTTATTTTGTTTTGTCTTTTGAGACATGTTTTTATATATATATATATATATAATCCAGGCTTTCCATGAATTCACTATGGAGTCCAGGTTGGCTCAGATTTGTGGCAGTCCTCCTGCCTCAACCTCCTGTATGCTGGGATTACAGGCATGCACCACCATGCTTGACTTGTTATTTTCCAATCGAAACAAAGCAGTGAAAGTAGTACAAAACCTCCAAACAGGATAATAAGAAAGCAACATAGCTACCATAGTATATGTTGCTCTTTCCACAATAGTTGTTTATATCAGACATAGCAAAATTAAAGAAAACAAAACAGAATAAGGCAAATCAAAACATGACATTGAATAAAATAAGTACTAAATGAGAAGAAAACAAAGTAATGAGAGTAATACTGCACATTGTTTTTCTCAAAACAGTTGCTCAGGTAACCAGACACAGAAATAAAATAAAACATTAAATGGAACAAAATGTTGGATTTCAAAACAAGACAGGAGGAAATCTCCCACAGTTGCCCCAATGCACACTACCATCCTCTAAGCACATGCCCAGACCTCCATTCCCAGGCCTGCAGCATCAACCAAACAATACAAGCATCAAGCTATTTCTTTTACCTCAGTTGCTATACTCTCACCTTGAGTCCTCTAAACCAGTAGGAGTGGACAGGAATACTCTTCTGATTTCTCATTCTGCACATTTGGCTGGCTCATGGGAAGGTATCGTTTCTCTTCTGTTGAGGCTCTTTCTGATCCGTGTGATGGAACCTGTTTCATGAGAAGGTATGGTTTCTCTTCTGGTTGAGTCTCTTCTCATTCTGCGTAGTGGTGCCTGCTTCACATGCAGGTGCATTTTCTCTTCTGGTTGTCTCTTTCTGAACTTCATGGTGGCACCTGCTTCACTGAAAGGTGTGGTTTCTCTTCTGGCTGAGTCTCTTCCTGATCTGTATGATGTGACCTGCTTCATGGGAAGGCGTGATTTGTTTTCTGGTTGAGTCTCTTTCCAATCTGTATGGAAGTGCCTGTTTCATGGAAGGCATAGTTTCTTTTATGGCTGAGTCTTTCCCATTAGTATGGCGAAGTATACTTCACAGGAAGGAATGATTTCTCTTCTGGTTGTCTTTTCCAGATCCACATGGCAGAGCCTGCTTCAAGAGAAGGCATTGTTTCTCTTTTGACTCAGTCTCTTCCTGATCAGCATGGCGATGCTGACTTCAGAGGAAGGTGTGGTTTTTCTCAGGTTATTTTCTTTTAGTACTTGGAATATTTGAAGCTCTCCTTGACTTGAACGTTTGTGTTGGGAAGTCATTTGTCGCTCTGATGGGCTTTCCTTTATAGGTGATTTGTTTTTTCCTGTAACAATTTTTGATGTTGTATTCCTGTGTTGAATTTCTGTAATCTTGACTATTATATGCCTTGCTAATTCTTTTTTTCATCAGCTAGCATCTGCTGCATTGATTTCTTGTGTTCTGTTGCCATTTTAAAGAAATCTTGTTTTCATGATTGCTAAGCACAAAACCTGTCTTCTATGACTGAGATTCTACCCTGACATTGGTTTATTGTGCTGTGGACACTTTCAATGGAATTTTTAGTTTCCTGACTATGTTCTTGAATCTGTTTTTTGCAGTTCTTTTGTGTGCATTTTGGGTATTTGTTTCCATCTTTTTCTAAGGTCCTGTTCTTTGCTTTTCTTTTCTTTCTTTTCTTTTTTTCTCTTTCTTTCTTTCTTTCTTTCTTTCTTTCTTTCTTTCTTTCTTTCTTTCTTTCTTTCTTTCTTTCTTTCTTTCTTTCTTTCTTTCTTTTTAAATCTGTATCTCCTCTAGAGTCAACATGTTTTTCATTGTGATCACTGTGTAGTTATCTGAGAAATTATCTCTGATTTGATATTTTTCTAGAGCCTTATTCATTTGCTTTGTTATTACCACTTAGGAGAGTCCTAGTGGATGTCTTTCATAGTGTCTTACCTCATTATCCCCTGAGATTGCCTTTGGTAAGGTACATGTCTTGGGTTGCATTTTTTTTAAATGTCTTATTTTGTTTTTTCTTTTGTTTATTTAATTCCTGGGTTGATGCTTGTAAACTGCCCGTGGTGAATAGTTTTATTCCTAGTATATGGAACCCTTAGAAAATGATTACTTCTCAAAGGTGCTTTCCAGGTAAAGCTAGCTTTTGGGTTTTGAGTCTGTTATAAGATCATATCTCTACAGTGTATTGAGGATGACCTACTTGGCCAGTCAGTGGTTCTTTGGCACTAGCATATATTATTTTTTATGACACTTAGTCAATCTCAATATTGGTATGCCAGGAAGAACAACTGGTTGGAACAATGATATCATTTCAGGTAACATGGTATAATCAGCAATAACAGCATCATATACAACCAAGAAAATGACAAACTGAGTTTATTGTTAATTTGCCACCTTTTGCTGTGTGAACTAGATTTGTGGTTGTATAAAAAAAAAAATCTAAAATAAACCAGAAGGGGCCAGGGGTTTAGCTCATGGTGTAAGTGCCTGTTTGGTAAACATGAGGTTGTGCGTTCAATCTCTGGCACCAAATAAATAAATAAAATAAACCAGAAAATTGTATGTAGTACAGTAAACCCTCTAGCTTGCAATTGTTGTCTCAGAGGAGAAAATTTAAAAGGGGTAATGGGAAAAAATAGAGATAAAAAGGAAGAGATTAGGCTGTGAGACAAAGGCAGAACATGCCCACTTTCAGAAACTGGTGTGAAAGACAATAGAACAGAGAGAAGAAAGAAATACAAAGAAGAATAGAACAGAGCAACAACCACAAAAAACCAGAAATCACATTATCACTCATATAAAAACAATAAGCAATGAAGAAAAAACAAACAACAGAAGAGAGAGAAGAAAGGCCCACTTAAAAGTGTGTCTGTGCTGTCCCTGGTGGAAATGTGGTCAGAGTCCAGATCCACCTCTTCAGTTTACCATATTGTCATCTTAATGAATACAGAAGACATTTTAAAAAGCCGAATATCCATTTATCATAGAAACAATACACAAAATTGGGATGGTCTTTTTTTCAATCTGATAAAAGCTTTTTATGACAAACCAACAGCCAACATCACATTAAATGGACCATACCTGAAAGCTAAAAAGCTAAAAAACCCTCAGAGTTAAAAAATATAAAAGGGAGTAAGAGGGGAAAATTGAGGGATAGAAGACAGTAAAGCAAGTCTGGAGAACAAAGGAGCATCAGCAAACTTGGCAAGATAGTAAAGAAGACAGGAGGGAAAGAGACAAGAAATAAGAACAGATTAAAAAAAAAAAAACCTAGAAACCCTGTTCACACTCATGAAAACAAGAACAAAAAATAGGAAAAAAGAAAACAAAAAGCATACAGATGTCAGTAAATGTAATATACCATATTCGCAGAGTCATGGACAAAATGAGGAAAAAAGAAAGACATGTCCACTTCAAGGTGTGTGTGTCTTTCCTGTCAGTGGTAGACAGTGAGGACAGACAGAATCTAGATGCCGGTTGATTAGTCCCAGCAAGCCAGCAGTAGCCTTATGGCAGGGTAGTTGATAATCTCAGTAAGCCTGCACCTTTATTTTCACTGAAGCTCTGGCTGGTTCTGACTGTGAGGCTGAAACAACATTTTCTCAGCCTGCATCACTCCTTGTGTAACCTGCCAGTTTGGACTTGGCTCCCTGATTTCCTGCTGCTTTAAACTTAACTTTTCCTGACCTGGTCACTGAGAAGCACAAGATAGACCTGGTCTCCAGTATTCTGAATTCTGAGCTCAGCAGGCCCCTCTCCAAGATGGCTACAAATCAGTTGCCCTCTATGAAGGGATGTCAGTCACCAGGTAACTAACCACTGCAGTTAGCTTTGTACACTGCTCCGTTCCACTACTGTGTTTCTCTGTGGGCACCAGTAGTTGCCATGTGTTTATAGGTTCAAGCTGCCCTTCTCATGCAGTGAGTCCTAGCTCAAGGAGATAGTGCTGCCTTGCCACCTCCTTTGTTGAAATCTCTTTCTTTGCTCTCCCCATATGCTTCAATTCTTGCTTCAGATCCTTTGTTGCTCCCAGTGACCCACTTCCCTCTTTCTCTTCCTCACGTTGGTGTATCCCAGTTTCTAGACACCAAATCTTGGAGAGGCTTTACTGCTCACTATGCCATCTTCCGCAAAGCCTATGGTCTTTCTTGTATATTTTAATAAATAATTTTGTGATACAGAGCATGGTTTTTGAGCTACTGTGGGTTACAAAATATAGTACTTTGTAGCTTTGTAATATTTATACTACAATAAAACTGCATTTTTGAAATGTGAATTTTGTAGTGTGTCTTGATACCAGTAAGAATGTAAGTAGAAGACTAAAAGTTCTCGGAAATTTACTTTAACGCATACACAGACTTTAAATCTGAACAATTTGCTTTACCTTCTACCAAAAACGTATTCACCATAATTCATTTTTAGCTAAGGAATACACACCCGATAAACTAAAGTTCTGTAGTAAAACTGGTTTTTATGTGTGGCGAAATGGTCATTTTATAATTAATTGTCCCCATATGTGTACTTAGTTTTGTTTTTAGCTACTGAGCTAAAATATTTATAATGTTTTTAAAGTACATTTATTTAAAAGGTTTACTTAAAATGTTGACAAGTGATAACATCTTGTTTTTTAAGATATATTTATGAAGTAATGTATGTAAAGTCTTAGTGAAGCAGAATTTATCATTCTTAATACTATGTTGTATTATTAATGTAACACAAGGTATGTTACATTTAGCATAGCTTAAAGTAGAATTGTGCTCGTAATGTTGAATTTTTACATAATTTAGTGATGCTGTGTTCTTAGGGTTTTTATTTATTCATTTATTTATTGATAGTTCTGTGGAGTGAACCCTGGGCCTTTGCCCTGAGCAACATCCTCAGCCCTTTTTATTTTCTGTCTTGAGGGAGTTTCATTAAGATGCTAAGCTGCCCAGTGTTGAACTGAACTTGGGATCCTCTTGCCTCAGCATTTCAGGCATACATCACCATGCCCTGCTTTCTTAGCCATTTACATTAGGGACTATTAAAGAAGTAAATTGGTCTACATTTTCATTTGTGAATACCAGTAACAAGAAATGACTTTAAATCTTAATCTTTTGTTTTGTAGCTATCGTTACTAATTATGCAAGTGAAGTGTTTGACAGCTGAACTCAGTCAGTGGCACAAAGAAACAACTGAAAGTAAGATTGTTATTTGGGGGGTTCTTTTTATAGAAATAAAGTATTGGCCAATTAATATAATGATCACAAGAATTACAAATCAATTTGGCTTTTTTGAAATTACCTTTATTCCATTCCATTTTTCTTTTTTTTTTGACATGTTATTTTGTGACTATTCTAAAGGTATGTATCTGTCCTGCCTAAATTACACTAATCTTTATTATTATTGATACTTATTAGTCATTTTTCATCTTCATAGGCATTGCCTTTTATTCAGTAGAAACTAAATTGTTTCTTAATGAATGAAACTTACCTAATGGAAAAGTTATTTCATTTTTAGGTGCTTATTTATAGTGGTGCTATATAATTTTTGTTATTTCTTGACTTGTCCAATGGCAGCAAATGGTTTTTTTTTGTTTTTGATTGGTTAATAAAAGATCACATTAAAATTTGTAATTGTAATACCTAAGTTGTTTGTTTATTTATTTTTATTTATTGTTTGGTTGAGATAGTGTCTATGTGGTTCCCCGGCTGGCCTCAAACTTGTGGCAATCTTCATGCCTCGGCCTCCTAAGTTCTGGGATTCTGGGTGTATGCCACCACACCTGATGATTTTTTTTTTTTAATTATGAAACTCTAAGTTTCTGGTTTTCATCTAGAAATTTCATATAGGATTATACCATGTTTTCTTCTTTATGTCTTCTTTCTTTCCCTGTGCTTTCTTGTAATTCTTTGTACTTTTATCTTTGGTCACTTTTGTAGAATTATTTTTTTATACTGAAATTATTGCCATTTCCTAAGAAGCAGCCGTAAGCTATCCTTTTTCTCATTTTCTTTATAGACAGTTTTAGCCACATTCTTCTATTTAATTACTCTGTTCACACTAATATTCATCGTTGCTCCACATCTTTTTTTATTACCTGTTAGTCTTTATACTTAAATTTTTGATAGATAGACAGTGCATCCCAGAAAATGTGTACACACTTCAGGAAAATAAAAACTTGTATAAATATTTTGATACTAAATTTATTGAGATACTATGAAATTAATGCAAGTTACTTTGAGTAAAAAGTGTTGAAAGTAGTGGCCACTGGTTTCTAGACATTTATTGGTGTGGTGAATTGCTCCTTTGGTAATCTTGATCAAAGATAAGCATCTTTAATTTCCTCTTTCAGGGCTGGCTGTGTAATGGGCTTTCTACTATGAATAATATCTTTTAGGATCCCCCATAGGTAAAAATCTGCAAGTATTAAATCAGAGGAATGTGTACTTTATACAAGTTTTTCTTTTTCTGAAGTATATATACATTTTTTGAATGGACTCTATATATTGTAATATACAGTTGTGGCTTTTAAAGAATTGTCTTAAACTATATATCCTATTGCCTTCTCAGTAGTGTTCTTGAATATCTCAAAGATTGTTCATCCTCACTCCTCTTCTGAGGTCTGTGATAAGCTTTATTCACTTCTCACCCTATATGCTATACCAGCACTATTTTTCCTTCTGCTTTAACTATGACTTCTGTATCAATTTAGAGCTTAACTTATAAACTGCATGATTTAAACGAGAAATTTATTTTGTCAAACTTTGGGAAACTAGAGGTTTAAATCAAGATGTGAGCAAGGTTGATTTCTTTCTTTCAGTCTTTCTTTCCTTCCTTTCTTTTTTTTTTTTTTTTTTTCCTAAATTGTTTTTGGAACTGGAGATTGAACCTGGTGTTGTGGCATGCTAGGCAGATGCTCTTCAGTGATAGAGCTAAAATTATAGGTACGTACCACCATACCTGCCTAAGATTGATTTCCTCTGTGGATTCTTTCCTTGGATTGTAGATGGCCATTATATTAGTCTTATCAGTCTAACAAAATACCTGAAATAATTATAACAGAAAAATGTTTTTCATCTGATGGTTCTAGGAGTTTCAGTCTGAGATTGAATGAACTCATTTTTTTCCCCTCTGGTTGGTAATGATGGGGAACATGTTGAGGAGTAAACTACTCACATCTTGAGCCACAAAGCAAGCAGAACAGAATGGGGTACACAGTTCACTTCCTCGGCATTGGCATCATTTGACATATCCCCAATGGCCCAAGGATCTCTCACAAGAACCCACCTCCTAAAGAGCTCCAGCACCTCCCAATACTGACATACTGGCAACTAACCCTTCAACACATGGACCTTCGTAGGACACTCATCTAAACCATAAGAGCCATTTTCCTCCTGTGTCTTCCCATTGTCTTCCTTCTCTGCCTCTGTTTCTTAAGATCGTTTTACAAAGATGCAGTTATGTCAGATGGTAGCCCAACCTAGTGACCTCATTTTAATATAATTACCTCTTTATTCATTGTCTTTTTGTGGCATTAGAAGTTGAACTCAGGGCCTTTGCTCTGAGTTACATCTGCAACTGCCCTTTTTAGTCTTTTTTGAGCATATGGTCTTGCTAAATTGCCCAGGCTGGGCTTAAACTTAGAATCCTCTTGCCTCAGCCTCCTAAAATGCTGGAATTATAGGCTTCTGCCACCATACCTGGCTAATTACTTCTTTGCCCAATTCCACGTACAGTCACGTTCTAAGATACTGATGGTTAGGCTTTTCACAAGTGAATTTGGGTTTAGAGGACAAAGTTGGGCCCACAAAAAGTTCCAAATCAATATATAGTCATTCAAATCAGACTTCATGATAATATCAGACTCAAATATCTTTGTATCTCCTAGACATCTTTTCCAATATATTCTATAAATGCCTCAGATTTAGAACAGATATCTGTCCTCTACCCATTGAGTGGAATCTGTTTGATGAACTATAAAGTTAAGAATTAGCTTAGAGTCTTGTTTCATATTTCATGAATAGTTGCTAAATATTGAACCCTCATATTTACTTCATTCCTTTTTCATCCATCTGCTATATTATAATAGGACTTTTTATGTCTTGTCCACAAGTTTATTGTAACAATTTTAGGCACAAAGAGTAATATAACAAACCCCAGTTGCCTTAAAGACCAGCTTCCACATCAAAATTTTCTAGTCTTGTTTTGTACTGTTTTTAGAATGACTCAAAAGAACAGATTTATTATCTCATAAATAATCTTATAGATTATGTGGATCAGGAATCTGAAAAGAACATAGCTGGGGCCTCTAATAATCTCAAGGTTACAGTGGTATATTCTGATTTAAGACTTTACTGAGAAGTTTGGGTCCACTTCTAAACTTCCCTCAAGTTGTTAGCAGTATTTCCTTGTGATAGATTCATGGTTGCTTTGCCTCATATTTTTGTTTTTTCTTGTTTGTTCTTTCTTCTTGACATTCTTGTTTTTTTGGTACCAGGCATCAAATTCACAACATAGTGCTTGCCACGCAGCTGCTTATGCACTGAGCTAAATCCCTGGCCCTTCTTCTTGACATTCTGAAATTCTTTTTCTTATTGTTTCTGTTTCAGGAACTTCTTTCAGCCACTCTTTATTTGGTCTATTACTGACAAATTTTCTTAATATCTTCTTTCACTGATAGTGTCTTGATTTTCTCTTCATTCCTGAAGAATAATTTCACTGAATATACAATTTAGCATTATCTTCTTTAGTACTTGAAAAATACATTACTTTTTTCTGCTTTCTTGGTTATTAATGACAGATATATTGTCCTACTGGTTTTTCCCTGATAGGGAAAGTATTGTTTTTTCTGTTTGCTTTCAAGGTTTTTTTCTTTTTCTTTAGTTTTTAGAAGATAAATTATAATGTGTTTTGACATGAGTTTCTTTGGGTTTATTCTGTCTGACATTCACTAAAATTCTTGTGTATGTGAATTTTCAGTTATTATTTATCACATTTTTTTCCATCTTCTTCCACTGCTTTTTTTCCTCTCCTGAAATTTTAGTAGGATCATTTGTTATAGTTGCACAAGTTTCTGAAGTTCTGTTTAGTTTTTTAAAGTTTTTAATTGTGTCATGATGCACATGTGGGGCTGGGGATTTAACACAGCGGCATAAGCACCTGCCTTGCAAGTGTGTGGTCGTGAGTTCGATCCCTGATACCGATAAAAATGAAAAAGACAAAAAAAAGATGCACATGTAACTTATTATAATCATCTTTAAGTGTGTAGTTTAGCAGTGTTAAGTGAATTCAATTTTTTTGTACCACCAGCCTTTAGAATGCTATTGAGTTGAAAATCTGAAATTCTGTACCCATTAATCACACTAACTCCTTTTTCTGTTCCCCTCAGCCTCTGGCAGTTGTCATTTTACTTTTTTCTGAGTTTAATTACTTCACATACTTCGTACAGTATAAGTGGAATCATTTAGTATTTGTGTTTTTTGTGACCAGCTTATTTCATTTAGCATAATATACTGAAAGTTCATTCAAGTTATAGCATGTGTCAGAATTTCTTTCATTTTTAAGGATGAATAATATTCTGTTATATGTATATACTACAATTTATTAAGTATCATGATTTGTTGCTTTTATCTCTTGTTTATTACAATTGATGCTGAAATGAATATACATGTATGAATATGTCTTCTGTATACATGGAATTAATTTAGGTTGATGCTCAAAAGTGAGCTTGGTAGGTCATATTATGGTACTACTTAAAAATTTTTTATTTTATTTATTCTTTTTTTTTTTTTTTTTTTTTTTTTTTTGTGGTACTGGGTATTGAATCCAGCGCCTTGTGCATGCTAGACAAGTAGCCTACTACTGAGCTACATCCCTAATGTTTTCTAAATTTTTGAGCATGATATTAATATGTTTCTCAGTTTGGCTTCAAAGTTGTAATCTTCCTATATCCAGCTCCCAAGTAGCTGGAATTACAGGCATATACCATTGTATCTGGTATTTTCAATGTTTTTCACCAACTACTATGTTTTCTATGGTGATGGGTTATTCCATGTTACAGTACCACTAATGGTACATAATTTTTTAAAATTTGTCTATATTCTTGCTGGTATTTGTCATTTTCTGTTGTTTTGGTAATAGCCATCCATATATTCTAAGTGTGTTCCAAGTTTTTTAAAACTAATCACTAATGTGATAG